CCTGAATTTGGCTTCAAATTTACCCAGTTTGATAAAAAGATCCTGTTTAATGAATCCTGAAAGTTTCAAGTCGATCTGATACTCCGAAATATTTTTCACGATTTTTCAAAGGTGATTTAACGTAAATTTTCCAACTTTTTCTGGTATTAAGTTGTAAAAAACATAAGTTTATTTCTTAGCTTCAGATTGACTTCAAATGTACCTTGTTTGATAAAAAGATCCTGGTTAATGAATCCTGAAAGTTTCAAGCCTATCTGATACTTGGAAATATTTTTCAGGTTTTTTCAAAGGTGATTTAACGTGAATTCTCCAACTTACTCTGGTATTAAGTTGGAAAAAACCTCATAATCTTATTTTTGAGCTTCAGATTGACTTCAAATTTGCTTTGTTTTATGAAAAGATCCTGTTCAATGAATTCTGAAAGTTTCAAGTCGATCGGTTACTCCGGAGTATTTTTTAGGATTTTTCAAAGGTGATTTAACATAAATTTTCCAACTTTTTCTGGTATTAAGTTGGAAAAAATCTCATAATTTTTTTTCTGAACCTTAAATTGACTTCAAATTTAACCTGTTTGACAAAAAGATCCTGGTTAATAAAACCTGAAAGTTTGAAATCGATCTGATACTCCGGAGTATTTTTCAGGATTTTTCAAAGGTGATTTAACATGAATCTTCCAGCTTTTTCTGGTATTATGTTGTAAAAAACCTCATAATTTTATTTCTTAGCGTCAGATTTACTTCAAATGTAACTTGTTTGATTTAAAGATCCTGGTTAATGAATCCCGAAAGGTTCAAGCCTATCTGATACTTGGAAGTATTTTTTAGGTTTCTGCAAAGGTGATTTAACGTGAATTGTCCAACTTTTTCTGGTATTAGGTTAGAAAAAACCTCATAATCTTATTTTTGAGCTTCAGATTGACTTCAAATTTGATTTTTTTTATGAAAAGATCCTGTTCAATAAATTCCGAAATTTTCAAGTCGATCGGTTACTCCAGAGTATTTTTCAGGATTTTTCATAGAGCGCAGGTATCGTTATTGATTCGAATTCGAACCCTATTTTAGTGGTACGTAAAAAGAGGCTGATAAAAGACGTTGTATCGACTATCGCGGTATAAATGAGGTCACTAAAAAGATAAACTACCCGCTTCCACTTATCGATGACCAACTAATCGTTTATTTGGTATGAAATATTTTACATTAGACTTGCGAAGTGGTTATTACCGAATTCCGGTTGAAAAAGACTCACAGCGTAAAACCGCGTTCGTGACGCCAGACAGTATGTTTGAATTTACGCGCATGCCATTTGGGGTTGCTAATGGACCGGCAGTGTTTCAAAAATTAACAAATAGTGTACCCGGACCTTTAAGTTATACCATAGCGATGGCATATATGGATGACCTTCTTTTACCGACAATATCGGTTGAGCAAGGACTTGAAAATTTAGAGGAAATACTCAAAGTTTTGATGCATGCGAACTTAAGAACGGAATTAAACCGGGTATAGAAGAAAATTAAAGTGTGTTTTAGACTTTCTGAACCTAAAAGTGTGACTAATATCAGACAATTCTTGGGACTTTCCCCATATTTCCGTCGATTTATCCGTAATAATTACGCGATAATAGCCAAGCCATTACCACATTTGCTTTCTAAAGATGTAGAATTCAAATGGGACGCAGAGCAGCAGCAGGCATTCGACCAGCTGAAGGAAGAGCTAACTGAGATTGATGTTTTGGCATTATATAAGCCTGAAGCGTACACGGAGATTCACACAGATGCCAGCTTATTTGGATTAAGCGGTATCATTGATCTGATGCACCCTGTAGAATGTGAGTAGACAGACTACACCCGAAGAACAGAAATATCACTCATCAGAATTGGGAATTTTATGCCTAGTTTGGGTATTGGAGAGATTGGGAGTATACGTATCGGCATATAATTTGTATGTTTTACTGGTTGCAATGCATTGAGAAGTTCATTCACTAAAAAGCATTTTATTCCAAGAATAGGTCGTTGGTGGCTAAAAATGCAAGAGTAGGTATATATTTGACGTAATACATAGAATGGCGAATGTAGATGCGTTGTCACGCAATCCGATTGGTGAGACAGAAGAAACAGATTGCTCAGATACCTTGCAAGTAATGATGAACACCCTTGAAGAAGATGATTGGTTATATTTATATCAGAAAGATAAGAATATTATGGAGGTATTAGCCAAAAAGTCGAAGATCACTAAAGAAGAGAAGAGAATAGGAAATGAGTATGAGATTAAAGATGAGCGATTATTTAAGGGACAAAATGAAGATTTATTAAGCCTTGTACCTAGTAAAATTAGATGGGGAAGAACTATATTGAAGCATGCACAGTTTGTTTATACAATAAAATAGCTAGTGGAAAACCTCCAGGCAAACTTTATTCTATAGTTTTCCTTTTCACACGTTGTACTTAGACCACCTTGGGACATTTATCAAGAGTACAAAAAAAAAACCAATACATACCTATATTGATAACAAATGGATTTAGGAAGTTTGTATACTTAAAACCAGTCAGAAATACGAGATTAACCACAAAAGCCTTAGAAGAAATAATGAATATAGTAGTTCCACCACACAGAATTATTACAGATAGAGGTACTTCATTCACGGACAAATAGAACCAGTAAATAGGGTGGTGGAGATTGGGATAAATATTGAGGAAAACCATCTATTTAAAATATTATTCCTTCAAATCTCACCTTTTTTAAAAAAGCGTTTACTGAATAAAAATTAAATGTTGCAACCATGTAAAGCGCCCTCAAGTTCAGGGGTGACCGCGTTCGAGCCACAAGCAAGGGTACTGCGAACGGGAGACAGAGAGAATATGCAACTAGACTACAGAACAAGCAGGGACTGGTCCCTTAGAGACGCGTGCCTGTAATTATTCATTATTCATTATTCAATTTTTATTTTCATTTTGTATTAAACTAATTGTTCAATCCAAGTTGTTATTAATGTGTGTGTCAAGGAGCGATCACCAGGCCAGTTAAATAATTATTATTTTGTTTTTGAGAGTTCAATTTACGCAAGTATTATGTTTTTTTCGTTGGTTTATAACATTTTTTATAACGTGTGCATTGTTTATGTATTTACCCAAAACCGTTTCATGCTGTAAACAACACAGATAAAGAATAAATTTAAATCTAAGAAATTATGTGCTGTCTTTTTGTGCTGATATTTTGATTTTGTGTATTCAAAGCATGCATTTGGGCCTTGTTGAATTTACTAACATTTTCCAACCCTGACGACAGAATATCCTAAAAAATTGAAATAATCAATCTAGAGATATTGTCTCAAAAACAACTGTAGCTGAGTAGCTTCCCGTATGGGACCTCAGTACCTGCTGGAAAACCTCCTAACTAACCAAAAACTCTTCAATTTGGAATATAGGTAGTGTTGATTGAATGTAGTGTGCGTAATTAAAATTTTAGCACAAGAACAGGGGCGGTACTTAGTTTCAACTTTTATTGAATTAATGACTCACAATTATTATTAAAATGATACAGTATGTTTCGATTTTTGAGGAATGTTAGATCGAGGGTTTCTCTTCCGTTCTCTTTCCCTTCGAGAATTCTAGGTCGAGAACGGTACGATTTACTTTAATAATAAAGTAGACGTTTTACAAATTTTTCGTTTCTTTTACATATCACAACTTCCCTTAAATTTCCCAAATATTTGCTATGTCGGGCGCATGCCCAGTAAGTAAAATTGAGTAAGTTTCCACAACGTAGGTCCTATTTGTTTTCCATTTCATTTTTCAGAAGATTTGTTGTTTAAAAGGTAATAAGAATTCTCATCGTTCAATCTTACTGAGCGAACCTGGGTATGTTATACTACAATATGTTGGTAGAATTCAGTATGTAATTAATAATACTTTGCACAGAGCTACTGAAAGAAAATCTTTTGAATCAGCTATATAGATGGTAACGTCATACAAGATGAGCTAGAGAATCACGACTTTGGTGGAGACATAGAAGATTGAAGATAAGATGCATTAGAAAAGATCAGGAGAAGCAGAGAGGGAATTAATTAAGGTAGAGCAAAAGAGACAAACTACATTCCAGGAGATCTTGTCTTCGTTAGAAACAATCAAATTTACCTACAGGCGAACCAAAGAAACTATTGGAGAAATATAAAGGACCTTATGTTATTGTGGAGAAATTACCGAATGATTGAATAGACGACCTTCCTGAGACGTAACGTACTCAAAAATTATACAAAGGAGTAGTTGCTGTTGATGCAATGAGAAGATTCGAACTATCTGAATGTGATACATGATTTCGAAGATAAATATGATGATAATCAACTAGAACAAGAAGAGTCTGAGAATCATATGATGGTGAACTATGGCGACAATGGCAATAAAAGCTCGATTGCGACAGTAAATCCAGAACATAGACAAAAACCTGATAAAGAGAAACGACTAAGACGAAAACCGAAATATTTAGACGATTATTGTACTATTTTCGAGGACAAAAAACAGAAGGATGGCCGAATGTTAGGACCTTCAAAAATATAGAAACACTTGGGCCACGTAGCCTTTCTCTTTCATCAACCCTAATATTCTTCTAGCTTCTCGAGTTGTTAGTGTTAGCCATTATAGGTTAGACATATTCACGTCAGAAGATGTGTCGTGAATATACAAGCTTTTTCTCAAAAGTAGTGTTTTTATTGAGATCAGCGATCACCGAACATAAAATAAAAGAGACCTTACAGTTAAATGTTTTTTTTTTCTTTCTGTTTGTTCACTATTTTATGAAAGATTTATTTATTATTACGACATTATATCAAACGAAGCATAAAGAAGAGGCACTAAAGTAACGGAACAAGTTATCTTATTTTATCTGGTGCATGACTTTGGCTAGCATCTAATCTTATGCAAGAATAACTGCGGGTGTAACACGATCGATTTCAACATCAGTATTTTATGCTAATGAGCTTTTTGCATAACAAAATTCTTATTCTTACAGGTTCCGCGTTATGGGAACTACCCTTTGGATAATCTCGATCCTGTCCATAACCAACCTGACAGGTGGCCATTCAACTTTGATACAAGAACAGCTAGATATTACGACCTATGTACGTCCACTACCGGAAGATTTACGTCAAAAAGTCCGCCTGGCACTGAAAGCTGAAGAAGGAAAACTGTTGTCGGCCAAAGAATGCGAAGAGGACGAAGACAAGATCGCGTGTCCTCCCAGCAAATATAGATCGTCCAGCGGAGAATGTAATAACGTTAGACATCCTGGTTGGGGTACGAGAGGAGCGGCGTTTTTGAGGCTGGTGGAACCAGATTATGCTGATGGTATGTAAAATTTGAAAAAGGTCACAGTCATTAAAAAAAATACCACCTTCACATACATATTTGGACCGTAAAACCTGACCTAGATTGATATATTTTATGTTATTTTAAAGGGACTTAATACTACATCAAGGTTTATCTTATTTCAGTTTTATGACATCACATGTTGGCGAACAGGATCCGTTGCAAAAAAAACTTGAAATCCTATAGACAATTTATTCTCATATTGTTCCATTGAAAAACAAATCGAAAAAACGACCACTCGAAAATTAATAATAATAGGTGGTTAAGTGGTTATGACATTATGACTAATTGTAGTGAAAGTCATTAAAGAATTGAATAAAAAGATGAATGTTCGTTTAATTGTTAACAAAACATGTTGCAATCCGTGGAAACTTTGAACATAATTTGATAAGTGCAGCTAGAAATGTTCATATAGATATATGATGTATTTCCAACTGAAAATAGACTGATAGATGCCAAGAAGTATAAAAATATAACCTTTGTCAATGGCAATTTAAAATTCAATATTTATTACTTCATTTTTTCATTTCATAATCCATCAATGTCATACCTAAAACAAGATAAGTATGTATTGGTTTTTCGGAAAGATTCAACTTCCTGATTGGTTTGTTTTTCAAATTATTCATCATTATCTTAGACAATATTATTCTTCAAGCGCAAACACGAATTAGTTAATTGGTAATTTGATTTAGAACAATAAGAAAAGCAAGCACGTGAGTCTTACTGACCTTGCTACCAGGATCCCATACATTTAAGATGATTGACCTGCTTATTTTACTTAATTTTTCAAGAGCAGTGTTATTATGTACAAAAAATACCTATAATTCAATAATAATAGCCACGATATATAGAAAAGTAAACCAACCAGAAGGTAAGAAGGTGCTAAAAGCAAAAATATGTTTAACTTGAGCTGCAGACAATCACGAGATTCACTTTCCCTTTCATCCGTGTGTATTTTAAGTATCAATTACTAATTTTATCACGCGAATATTTTACATACAATTAAATTTAAATTATTCCTCGATTTTTTTTTTCGAACCCTCAGATCGAAAATCCAAGGTTCGGACCTTATTAAAGACCTGTTTTGAAATTCATATTGACTGACATTTACTTTGAAATGGCGTAAGAGATAATGCAAACTCTTAATAATCGATCGTTGTAATAACGACTCATAGGCTAGGTTTTCAAAGATACCCAGATTCGATAAATTCGTGAAATAGTTCAATTATTTTGGTCACGGTTGCTGATGGAATCTTGTGTTTTTGGGTGGTTTTACGTAACGCCAAATTCCATTGCTAACCATCATCATCAGACTAGAAGTTGATTTTATGCGGTGATTACAAAGTTGGGTTTGTTGATGAGTTACCAGGAAAATTTGATGAGTTGTGCTACCCTTCACATACATGTTATATGGATTTCACAACTACAATGACCTCCAGACGCGTCTCATCACCACGGTCGTAAATACAAAGTATCGCAAAGTCTAGACGCTACTTCAGCAAGTTATCCTGTCTGAACATGTTACGTCAAGAACTCTTCTCCATCGTCGCAACGCTGCCATAGAAACAGCAAGTTCAACATGTTTTAAAATATAAAAGACTCTGTCTCTTTATAAAAACCCCAATTTTTACCCTAATCAGCAAAAAACTTATTTTTTAAATGACTCCTCTAATGAAACATATGAACATTATGAACAAGATGTTAGTTATGAAAAAAACGAATATGCTGAACAGTTCACTACTGATCCGAATGCTAAAAATTATCAGGATTTTCTGGTACCTTTTACCAATCAACATCCGCCAGAAAGTACCCCTCAAGATCACAAATATCGGGACCCAAATACAACTGAATCTAGATAACATGAATCCGAACCTCAATTTTCCGGAACAAGCATTTCTTCAAACCCTTATTACTGTTACTTCGAAAAATCTGTACTACATTTATGATGCTTCTAATAAATTCGGATTACTTATTGATACAGGTGCAGGCATTTCAATTTTTAAAGAAAATTTCTGTCCATAAATTCCCCTATCGTTCTGAAGAAAACGTAACCATTCAAGGTATCACCGATCAAAAACTCCAGATCCGTGAATCAACACTTGTACCGTTCACCCTCCAAGATCCTCACAAAGTGTATATTTACTTGAATATTGATTTCGATGGAATTTAAGGGTTGGATTTCCTAGAACATTATCAATGTAATGTGGGATGAATAAAAGCTAAAGAACTTGTAACCAATTTCAAAACTATCCCTCTTCATAAAGATACCGAAGATGACTATCCAACACAGGTGCTTTACTCTTTTCTCAAGAAAAAGGAAAAGTCAAATTACCTAATGCTTTAGTAAAAATAAATGAACAAGGTGAATTTTTAACCTCAATTGTAAATATTAACGCTATAGAAAAAACCGTAGAGTTTTCGAACTTGTCTATCGAACCATTTGTCTCAGAAAGTGAAACTCAAAAAACCATTCCAAGTTTTAACAACTCTAATCTCGAATATGACGATACTTATGATAGACAAAAATGTCCATTCGAAATGACCTAATAGTAGGTATAATATGGGGTTTCTGTAACCTCCGTCCTCCGGAGAAGCTTCCAGCACACCTGCACGCGCCATCTATCGGTACCTGCTGCATGTGTCCGGTGCGCCATCTATAGGTTCAGTTGCCTTTTGTAATTATCGGTACCGGCCGTATGATGCGCCATCTAGGTTCGGATACCTCTAATACTCCTAGGAATCGGGGGCTTTTGTAATTATCGGTCACTGCTGTAGGTGTCCGAATCGCGGCCTTTTGTAATTATCGGTACCTGCTGTAGGTGTCCGAGGCGTTTTGGAGATGGTTTCTCGCTGCGGTCAAATTCCGGGAAAACTCCCAAAAATTTGAGGTTGGCCCGGGTTAAACCCCCGAAATTTCAGATCAAAGGCGCCGCCGATCTAGAGATTTCCCCACGGTATCGAAAAAATTCCCAGGCTCAGGTGCCCCCAAAATAGATGCATCAGGTCTCGAATGGATTGAAGTGGAGTTTATAGTCTCGTTTCTACAGAGGATTTTGGAGATGGTTTCTTGCTGCGGGCCAATTACGATAGTTGTCCAACAATGTACCTGCTTTCTAAAATGCTGTTGTTCAGGAATTCCACTTGCAATTCATACTGGTAGAATCTAATCCGGGATTCTGGAAGTACTGTCTGGAAAGTACGATCGTTGTCTATGAGGCGGTAGTGAAGCGGAATCCATAAATCGTTGGAATAGCTATCAGTTTTCGGCTGTGCCTTGATATTTCGGACATCTGATGATGGATGGATGGATTGCTCCGAAGGCGATGAAATTGAAACTGAGCCAAACCATTGCTATTACATGAATGAAACATCCACTATTTGGCCAGAGCTCTTATACAGAAATAACATTGGTTTTGTGGAGAGGAAGGTCCATCTACTAACTCAAAAGCACGCCTGTGTTCCAGTGGTAGTTTTCCCCAAATATTTGAAAGTGAAGTACTATCGTCATACTGTAGAAAAAAACCCAATTGGTAAATCTTTCAACTCCCCAGCACTACAGTTTTTTATATTTTTTTCCCCGATAGGAATTTCAACAATTGATGACATATCTTCAAAAGCTGTAACTAGACTAACGAATACATGTAGACAATTATTGCGCTAAATTTTGTGCCCCTTTCCTTTTCCTTTTTTATCCACAGCTAGTGGTACAGGTGGCTTCACCTTCTAATTAATCATTTTGATTACCTGACCTTTGGTGACTTAGATCGTGTTTATGTTGGAGCTGTGATACACGATAAAAGCAACGATACTAATGTATAGTATCATTATCAAACTTTGAACTTTATCCTGACTGTCTTTCATTGAAGTCTCTATTTGCTTGAACCTGTTCTCAAAGACTTCTTGTGAGGTTGGGCCACTAACTTTTTTCACTTGGTTTTGCAGATCTGTTTTGAATGTCTCCGAGATTTCTTGAAGCTTTTCATCTGTGTAGGATTTTGTAGCACAATCTTGTAATCCTGCAGGATTTTTCACGTTGCTTGGTTTTAGATTTTGCATGTCATAACTCCCATCGGAGATGTACGGAATTTGGACTTCTTGATGACGTTGTCGTTGAAATGATATGTTTTTATATTCACCAACAGCTTTAAGGCGCTACGAACGTCCAAATTTATCAACCGACATGATGATACTGAGTAAAGTGACAACTATTTCAAGCTTTTATTAATGTGGGCGCCACTCATAAAGGTAAAAATAAAAAATAAACAATTTTTGGGGGTTTTCCCGGAATTTGACCGAAGCGAGAAAACATCTCCAAAACGCCTCGGACACCTACAGCAGGTACCGATAATTACAAAAGGCCCCGATTCGGACACCTACAGCAGGGACCGATAATTACAAAAGCCCCCGGTTCCTAGGAGTATTAGAGGTATCCGAACCTAGATGGCGCATCATACGGCAGGTACCGATAATTACAAAAGGCAATTGAACCTATAGATGGCGCACCGGACACATGCAGCAGGTACCGATAGATGGCGCGTGCAGGCGTGCTGGAAGCTCCTCCGGAGGACGGAGGTTGCAGAAACCCCATATTATACCTACTACTAATTACCAACTTATACCTGAACTTTTCCGACATTTTCTACCAGGAAGGTGACACGCTCACATTTACAAGTGAGATTAAACACCCTATTGACACCAATAATGCAAAGCCTGTGTATACCAAATCTTACAAGTATCCCCAAATCCACAAAGAAGTCAAATCCCAAGTTACCACAATGCTAGACCAACGCATATTTCGCCATTCTGTATCTCCATGGTCTTCTCCCGTATGGGTCGTTCCTAAGAAACTTGATGCTACTGGCAAACCCAAATGGCGCGTCGTAATCGACTACCGTAAAGTCAACGAACTTACTGTAGATGACAAATACCCGCTGCCTAATATTTCCGATCTTCTGAATCAATTCGGAAAATGTCAATATTTTACCACCCTTGACTTAGCCTCAGGTTTTCACTAAATAGAAGTAGACCCCAAGGATGTTTCGAAAACCACTTTTTCCGTAGAAAATGGCCATTACGAATTCGTACGTATGCCATTTGGATTGAAAAATGCTCCGTCCACATTCCAAAGAGTCATGGACAATATTCTCTTTTGCATTCAAAATGAAAGATGCTTAGTCTACATGGACGATATTATCGTTTACTCTCCTATCATCCACGAACATATTTCAAAGCTAACCGAAGTATTTAAACGCCTCCGTAAAGCTAACTTAAAAATCCATCCGGACAAATGTGAGATTCTTCAAAAAGAAGTAGCTTACCTGGGATACTTTATCACTCAAGACGGTGCAAAACCGAATCCAGCAAAAATCAGTTGTATTCAGAACTTCCTCACACCCAAAAATCCCAAAGACATTAAATCCTTTCTAGGATTAGCAGGATATTATCGTCGATTTATCCTCAATTTTGCTAAAACATCGAAGCCCTTGATAAAATTCCTCCAGAAATATGTTCCATTTCATGTTTATTATTATCCGCTGACCAATAGAATTATAGACTGGGCCCCATGATTAAAATAACTCTAGCCCTTCGGGCTCACGTATAACTCCGGCCCGTCGGGCTCGCTTATAACTCCGGCCCTTCGGGCTCACGTATAACTCCGGCCCTTTAAGCTCGCATATAACTCCGGCCCTTCGGGCTCGTATTACTGAGTATCCCATATTTACAGATTTTTGTCGTGAAGGCGCGGGATTGATTGAAATAATGTTGTCAAATTTTTCTAAATTACATTGAAATATCGAAATTTGGAAAGTATAATTTGTGTCATTGCTTACTGTAGACGACAAATACCCGCTGCCTAATATTTCCGATCTTCTGGATCACTTGGGAAAATGTCAATATTTTACCACCCTTGACCTAGCCTCAGGTTTTCACCAAATAGAAGTAGACCCCAAGGATGTTTTAGAAACCACCTTTTCCGTAGAAAATGGCCATTATCAATTCGAACGTATACCATTTGGATTGAAAAATGTCATGGACAATATTCTCCTCGGCATTCAAAATGAAAGATGCTTAGTCTACCTGGACGATATTATCGTTTACTCTCCTATCATCCACGAACATATTTCAAGGCTAACCGAAGTATTTAAACGCCTCTGTAAAGCTAACTTAAAAATCCATCCGGACAAATGTGAGATTCTTCGAAAAAAAGTAGCTTACCTGGGATACCTTATCAGTCAAGACGGTGCAAAACCGAATCCAGCAAAAATCAGTTGTATTCGAAAAGACATTAAATCCTTTCTAGGATTAGCAGGATATTATCGTCGATTTATCCCCAATTTTGCTAAAACATCGAAGCCCTTGATAAAATTCCTCCAGAAATATATTCCATTTCATGTTAGTTAAGTTGATGTCCAATAAAATTGTAACCTATATTTTGATTTCAAGAGTTTTCGAGATAACATCATGCTATTTTCTAAAAAAAAAAAATCCTGCTGGAAGCTCTCTATGAAAGATGGTAAAAACCTAGCCTCTTGCATTTCATCAATCCAAAATTATCTTTCAGGAAAACACCAACCACGTATTTCCACCAGCTCCAAGCCGCTTCCCAACCCGCTGGACGTAGCTTCAACCCTCCAATCGATACCAGTCGAATCGCATGAGTCGGTAACAGCCCTTTTGGGTGCTTGGAGTGAGTTACTGCTCCACGATTTGGCAATGACTGGCAATTTGAAAAGTAAAGATTGTTGTTCCGACAATGACATCCATCCGGAGTGTTATGGAAAACTTGGTAACGGTCAATGCAAGGATTACATGCGAACGTTGCCTTCAATTGATGGCGATCAGTGTAATTTTAGTAAGTAGAAATCACTAGTAATTATAATTATCGATAAAATTCATGCTATACATTATAGTCGATATTAATTTATTAATATAGTTGCATTTTCTCTCTCGGAACTGATTAAAACCAAATGATATTGAATTGCTATTACATGCCGGTAATTTATACTCAAATTAAACAACAGTCCGGAATATTGTATTTTTTTTAATTGTTGTTAACATGATATATTATGGTTAATAAGGAAAGTTGCGGTATATTAGCAAGCTTAATAATATATTCGACTATCTTTTCAGAATATCGTAATCAAATGAATCTTGCCTCATCCTTCCTGGACGGATCAGCAATCTATGGCAACTCCGACACTCAATTAGAATCTTTAAGGACTTACGATAATGGCTTGGTAAACGTATCAGCTTGTTCTTCATGTCAAGCTAACGCACTGTATTCGGCCATTTTAAAAGAACACAATCGAATTGCTGTGGCTTTGGCCACTTTGAACAAACACTGGAACGACGATGAGCTTTTCTACGAGAGTAGGCGGATTGTAGTTGCTGAATTGCAGCATATTACCTACAACGAGTTTTTGCCCATTGTTTTGGGTCAAGAGTCAATAGTTAATACAGAGCTCAGCTTGAAACCACATGGAAGGTTTTCGAAATATTCTAGTTCTAGAAGAGCTGGTGTTTTCAATGAAGTGGCAATGGCCGCTTTACCAGCACTTTTGTCTATGCTACCAAGCAGCTTGGTAAGTAGTAAAGGTGCAACACCGGTTCTAGCGCAAAATTTTGCGAGTGGGGGTAAAATTTTCAGAAATAAGCCCTTCCCCCTTTCCAGTGCCCGTGTCTTTCATCGATCGCACTAATTGGTTAGTCGCCGCTGCTTCAGGGTAATTGACCGTACCAAGCGGCTCATCGAACACACATAGCACCTTGTGACTTGTATACAGGCCTGTCTCTAGAAAGGTCTGTATACAGCTTTGCAGGTCTAGGTAATATGGGGCAGTTCAATAGCTGTATCAGACTAGTCTCTAGAACTGTATAGCTGTATACAGACCTATCTCTAGACCTGTCTAACTGTATACAGACCTGTCTCTAGACCTGTATAGCTGTATTCAGACCTGTCTCTAGACTCTTATTCCTGAAAATTTCACCCCTACTCCAAAATGGTACAAAAAACTGCAGAATGGACCTTAGATTTTCTTATGGAGATTTAAATGTGAAAATTACCGATTTTGCGCTAGAACCGGTGTTGCACCTTTACTGTATGTCAACCAATTTAGTATTTTGAATTGACAAATAACATTTTCTATTTAGATGAACAAAACAGCAGAAACTTTTGCCGAAATGATCGATATCCTCATAACAGAACAAGCCCAGAATCCCAGCGTGCACATTTCAGTACCTCTACGTACCGATTGGGATACCGCAGCACTATTTCTGCATATGGGCAGAGATCATGGTATTCCTGGTTACATCAAAATCCTAGAATATTGCACAAATTCTACATTCAGTAAACCTCCCAAGTTTGAAGATCTCAAAGCTCACGGCATTAAGTCTGAATATATCAAAGCCCTGAGGTATTTGTACAATAAAACTGAAAACATCGACTTACTAGCTGGTACCCTATTGGAAAATCCTCTTCCTGGAGCTATAGTTGGGCCAACCTTGAATTGCCTCATCAAAGAACAATTTAACCTTTTGAAGAAAAGTGACAGATTTTGGTACGAAGCTGACTTACCTCCCAGCTCGTTAACAACCTCGCAACTCAAAGAAATAAAAAAAATCACGTTGGCAGGCTTACTTTGTGCTAACACAGACGACTTAGGCAAAATCCAACCAAAAGCTTTCGTCATGGAAGATCAATACCTTAACGGCAGAATACCTTGCGATCAACACGCCCTACCACAATTAGTTGAATGGGTAGAAATGGACCCTATGGTAGATGTAAGTGAAGAACTTCTCATGGAGGCTCTGTCTAAGGCAGAACAAAAAGTTTTGGAAAGAAGAAAGATGGAATATCAAGTTTGGAGCACTGTTGGTGGTATTGATCCAAAATCACCTCACGGAATTGCAGCATCTTTTAGCAAGGCTAGCAAACAAGCTTTGAAACTAGCCAATACTTCACTTTTGTTGGAGTTTGCTTCAAATGAAATTATGAATTCGTTATCGTAAGTAAAAATGATTTTCAATTAACAATATTATTTATTGGAATTATTATTTTTTTAGGCATAGACGCCGCAGGCGTCAAGCTTTAGGTGGTAGATCATTACCATTCCTTTTCCCTGACGAATTAGGCGATAGCTTACAAAGCGTGGACATATCTTCGTTTCTTCCAAGTGAAGCCCTTCAGGATGAAGAGCATTGTGAAGAGCAAGGCCCTTGCGATCCAACGTTTCCTTACCGAACCCTCTCTGGTCATTGTAATAATTTAAAAAAGGCCACATGGGGTAAAAGTTTGACTACCTTCAACAGACTGTTGCCAAGTGCTTACGAAGACGGACTCTCTAAGCCAAGAGTAACCGGAGTGACAGGAACACCTTTGCCAAACCCTAGAGCCATATCAAGAGTTATTCATCCAGATATTAGTAATCTCCACAAAAAATACACCTTAATGGTTATGCAGTTTGCTCAGCTAGTAGACCACGATCTAACCATGACTCCGATTCACAAAGGCCATCACGAATCTATTCCCAGCTGTAGATCTTGCGACAGTCCAAGGACTGTGCATCCAGAATGCAATCCAATTCCAATTCCGCCAGGAGATCACTATTATCCGTCGTTCAATGTCAGTACAGGACGTTCGATGTGTTTTCCGTTTATGAGATCTTTGCCGGGGCAGCTTCAGTTGGGACCCAGAGAGCAGCTCAATCAGAACACGGCCTTTTTGGATGCTTCAATGGTTTACGGCGAAAATCCGTGCGTTTTGAGAAAAATTATCGGCGAGCACGGGAAAATGAACTGGACCGAAATAGCGTCTACTAAAGGGGCTTTGCCGACATCACCTACGCATCCGGAGTGTAGATCTGCATCTGGACTTTGCTTTATTGCAGGTGAATATGGCGTTTTTACATAACCATTTTCTAGTATTTGAGTTACTGTTTGTCGATTTTAATCTGATACTCCAAAGGAATGTGAGCTGGTGGCTCCCTACGTTACAGGCTACACCTGTTTTTGTCATATGCTCCACCCCCTCGCTCCTCATACGGAAAATGTCAGATTAAGAACGACGGACAATATGTCATGAGACTCATAACACAACTAGTGGTGTTGTAGATTGTGGGGAAGTCGTTTGGGCTTTTCAGCCGCTCAGCACTGCTACCTTTGCAGATATTTTGTACGTGACTCTACATCTTAAATTGTTTCCAGGAACCGTTGACTTCTGCCGAAGGAAGCTATTTTTTTTGGGTGTCCGTTGGCCCACTTCTGACAGGTGACAGTGTTGCCCCCTCGAGGAATTTGAGCCTCTTGCAGAGTTGGGCTGAATTTTCGCAGAGCAGGTGCTCGGCGGTCTCTATTGAGTCTGAGCGGAATCTGCAGAGATCGTCTTCTGCTCTGCCCATTAACCTTAAGGGGTATTTCACCGCGCAGTGTCCTGTGAGCAGTCCTACGGCCATTCTGAAGTCTGGTCTGCTCATGTTTAGGAACTTTTTAACTATTTTTGCTGAAAAGGTGATAAATCTTTTTGACTGTCTAATGGCCGTTTCCACCAAATATTTTAGGGGAGCCTTAACGATAAGTATTTCCTAAAATGACATTTTTACATGGATAAATGTCAGTTTAGGGCATACCTATCGTTAGGGCGCCCCTAAAATAGTTGGTGGAAATGGACATAAGTCCCGGAGTGTGGCTCCAATATGATGACAGTTGGTCTTTCTTCCATTTGTTGAGTTCTGTCATGATGTGGCTTTTCATTAAGCCACAAAAGTGGTTTTGGTCCATGGTATAGTGTTGAGGCCCCTTCTTTTGCGAGGCCATCTGGTTCTTCGTTACCTTCTATGCCTCGATGACCAGGCAGATACATCAGCGTTATCTGGTTGTGTGTCGCTAGTGTTTTTAGGGTCTGTTTACACTCCCAGACTAGTTTTGAGGTGCATTTGAAAGCCCTTAAGGCTTTAAGGCAGCTGGTTATCTGATAGTATAAAGATGTGTTTTCCTTTGAGCCTTTGGTTAAGACACTCTTGTGCACATATTATGTTTACGGCAAGCAGTTCGGCTAGAGATATTGTGAGATGTTTGCCCACTGTGCTTTGGAGAGCTTGAAGTTAGAGCTGTAAATGCCCAGTCCAGCTCCTTCCGTTAGTTTGGATCCATCTGTGTACCACCGAGATGCATTATCTGCTTGTGGTAATTCTTTATTCTCCCATGATTGGCGCTCGATTATTACCACTGCGAATCTGACCATCATGTGGTCGCTGGGTTTTCTGGCATTCTCCAGTGTTATTATTCCCAAGATGCGCAGATGTCCCCTCACCAGGCTTGAACTTGTCTGTTTGTCAGCGCTGATTATTGCCTCCTTTTTCACACATAGGCATAGGTGCAGTGGAGGCATGTTGAGCTGCGTCTCTAGGGCTGTGGTGGGGTAGGTCGACATTGCTCCTGTTATTTCTAGGCATATCAGCCTTTGTACCTTGTTTAATGTTTTACCAACCAGTTTGCGGCATGACCAGATGGCTGATATAGCTCTAGAACATGATTTCTCTAACTGTTTGTTCCAAGTGAGTGTTTGGTCCAGGGTGACCCCCAAGTATTTAACTTCGTTGGAAAAAGTTAGTTGTGTACTGTTAAGGGTAAGGGTTCTTCTCGTGAACGGGATAAGAAATGCTTTGAATGGGGTTTAGGGATAATCCTTCGCCTTCGCTCCAGTTTTTAACGATGTTTAGAGCACTTTGCATTTTGCATTCGGCTTGTTATTACGACGTCATGTTTGCCCTTGATTATAATGGCCAGGTGATCTGCATAGCCTATGACCTGGACTCAGTCTGATAAGGATTTTGTCCACCACTAGTGTCCATAGTAGTGGGGAAAGAACACCCCCTTGAGGACACCCTCTGACCGTCGTAGTGGTAGCTGATGCTCCGTTTACTTCAACCGTAACGTAACGCAGTGTTGGTAGATATTTGTAGGTAGTTGAAATTCCCCATACAAGTGCAAAAAAGTCCCTAGATTGGTATAAAAATCCCTAGTTTCAGAATATATTCGATTTCTAGTACGGGGGAATCCCGCAACAATTGGACGATCTTGTGTTCGGTAGAAAATATTTATTTCGTATCTTTCTCTATTTGTACGTGTTAGAAAGAGACATTTGATACGTGTAAGTAATCTGCAATAAAGATTGTTTTTCTTTTCTCTCTCTAACATTGTACTAAACGGCAGATAAAATATGTATTACGGGATTAAAAATTTAAAAAATCCATCTGGCATAAATTTCCCTTTTTCCCTAATAACTCAAAACGTCCCTAAATCTAGGGAGAAATTTCCTAATATACCATCACTGACTTATAACAAAGTAGGAGACAAACGTATGAAGAATTCAATGATTAAGAAAGAGATAAATATAAAGTAGGATGAAAAAAAAGTGACACGAATTTTGATTATTCCCGGCGCTTGAGTGATGTATCTGGCTAATGAAGTGCCTGGAATAGAGAGAAATGGTATGCTACTAAATTCAATGGGTAAGAAAGGGACAGAGACAAAATGGGAAAAAAAATATTACACAAATCTTGGCTGTTTGTGTCTGACAAATCAAGAGCTTGGGTAGAACAAAGTAGGAGAGAAACGTATAAAGAAGTCAATGATTAAGAAAGAGACGAATATAAAATAGGATAAGAAAAAGGTGACACGAATTTTGATTATTCCCGGCGCTTGAGTATCTGACCAATCAAGTGCCTTGAATAAAGAGAAATGGTATGCAAAATTCAATGGGTAAGAAAGGGACAGAAATAAAATACGAAAAAAAAAATTACCTACACAAATCTTTGCTATTTGTATCTGACAAATCAAGAACTTGGGTATAAAAAAGTAGGAGACAAAGACATAAAAAAATCAATGATTGAGAAAGAGACAAATATAAAGTAGGACACATATGTTGATTACTCCCAGCGCTTGAGTATTCGACCGATCAAGTGCCTAGAATAAAGAAAAATGATATGCAAAATTCAATGGGTAAGAAAGAGATAGAGATAGAATGGGAAAATAAAATATTACACAAATCTTGGCTATTCGTGTCTGACAAATCAAGAACTTGAGTATAACAGAGTAGGAGACAAATAGGTATAAAGTAGGATAAACAAATGTGACACGAATTCTTGGCGCTTGAGTGTTCGTGCATCTGACCAATCAAATGTCTGGAATAGAAAAAAATGGTATGCAAAATTCAATGGATGAGAAAAGGACAGAGATAAAAAAAATATAACACAAATTTCGGCTAATTTTTGTCTGGCAAACCAAGAGCTTGGGTATAACAAAACAAAGTAGGAGACAAAGACATAAATCATTCAATGATTAAGAAAGAGACAAATATAAGGTAGGAAACAAATTTTGATTATTCTCAGCGCTTGAGTGGTCTTGTATCTAACCAATTAAGTGCCTGGAATGGAGAAAAATGGTATGCAAAATATCCACAAAGAAAGATTAAGCTATGGGGAATTCATTGAATCAGAAAGAGATGGAATTAAAATACAAATAAGTGGCCTTGTAATTTTTGTAGGTTTGAGTTATTCCAATTCAATTATTATAAAAATTGTTCTGGACTTTTTTAAATTTCTGCCGAGTAAGAGAGAGAGAAAAAACTGGATCAGCTCAGAATTTTTTCAGAATTGATGTCTCAAATTATAAATAAATCGAACTGTTCTGACAGAAATCGCAGAATTTTCAATTTTTTGTGTCTGACCGACCAATCAAGCACTTCAAATAACAAAGTGAGAGACAACTATGTGAGAAATTCACTGAGTAAAAGCCGGATATAGAGTAGAATAGAGTATAGTGATTGGCTTGAGTAATAATGAGTGGCCTAGTAATTTCTGTATCTAACCAATCACGAGTATTGAATAGTCGAGTGAAAGAAAGACACGGTATCAGAAATTCAATGGGTGAGAAAGAGACACAAATAAAATAGGAAAACAAATTTTGGCTATTTGTGTCTAGCAAAAAGGTTGTGTACTTATAACAGTGTTGGTAGATAGGTGTAGTTGAAATTCTCCATATGAGCGCAAAAAAGTCCCTAGATTGGTATAAAAATTCCTAGTTTCAGAATATATTCGATTTCTAGTACGGGGGCATCCCGCATTCGAACCTAAAATATCTAAAACCAATGAAAATCATTCAAAACTGTCAACAAGTATAAGCAGATGAACGTAGAATTTAAAACGCCAATTGGACGATCTTGAGTTCGGTAGAGAATATTTATTTCGTATCTTTCTCTATTTGCACGTGTTAGAAAGAGACATTCGATATATGCAAGCAATCTGACATAGAGATTGTTTTTTTTTTCTCCAACACATTGTACTGAGTGGCATGTAAAAATGTAAAACATAACGGGATTAAAAATTAAAAAATCCCTAAAACTGGCACCCTCTATGTCAATGGATGCTGTGACAACAATCTCTTCTGATGTACTGGTCATTTGCTTTCTCCATTGTTTTGAGAAGAAAGGAGGTATGATTTCACTTCGTCCTCAGGTCGACGACCAGTTTTAGGTATGAATATAACATTAGCTTTCCTCCAAGATAGCGGTATGTGTCCTAGGACCAGGCTTGCTTTGAAAAGTTGTGTAGCTTGAAACTAAGTGTAGCTTTAAGTACTTGTAGCCTTTTTTCAGTTGTGATATTGATAATCGTATGACAAAACGAAGGCGCGCATCTGTAGTGACGTCACAAGGGTATCAGCGCTTGATAATAATAGGCAATCCACTTTGAGCTTATTCTTGATTTGTAGCAATCATTGACTGTTTTTCTCCGCCTCTAATATCATTTTTGATAATATTTCAACTTTTAATATACATGGTGTCCCACGACGTTTCTCCCAGGTGATACTTCGGAACGCGTCATCCAATATAATTGAAATTTTGAGGATCTGGGTAAATTTTTGTGCCGCTTCTACCACTGTCATCCAATTTTACCATTTTTGCTTCAATTTCGGTCAAGTGACGTCAACTTTCGAATCTTAAATGTAACTCATGGTATATTATGGTATTTTTCGTTAGGAAATTAAATTACAAAATCGACTATGCCATATTTGTTGAGGCTTTGTTAAAGGATATGACAGAAAATTATACAGTGGAACATACGATGATGCGTTCCGAAATGATCATTTGGGAGGAACCTCGTGGGACACCCTGTACTTAGGTGCATAATGACGGTTCACAGAAATAATTTTCAAAACTCACAGCATACAATAATGTATCAATAAAATAGATAATCACAAAACACAATGATAATAGTATAACAAAACTTAACAAAAGGGCAACACGCATTTGTAGTGACGTCACAAGGGTATCGGCACTGGTCAATAAAAGGCAATTCTCTTTGCGCTCATAATTCTTGGTTTGAGTGAATCAATAGCTATCTTCCTCCGTCTCTTTATGTTATTATCTTTCTTCTCTCTCAAGTAACGAAATTTGCCCGTGACTCGTTTTCAAATCACTCTCCATTATCGTGTAAATATCAGAAGTTTCATTTCAAAAATCATTTTAAGGTGACGGTAGAGCATCAGAACAACCAGGACTAACCATGATCCACACAATCTACATGCGCGAACACAATAGAGTCAGGGATGCCTTGAACCGTGTCAACTCTCATTGGGGATCCGAAAAGATTTTTGAAGAATCCAGAAGAATTGTTGTGGCTAATGTGCAGCATATAACCTACAATGAATTTCTACCAAGAATACTTGGTTGGAACGCGATGAACCTCTACGGCTTAAAATTGCTGAATCAAGGCTACTACGGTGACTACAATCCGAATTGTAATCCATCAATATTCACAGAATTTGCCACTGCGGCTTATAGAATCGGCCACTCGCTTTTGAGGCCTCACATTCCCAGATTGGATAACAATTATCAAATTGTGGAACCGCCAATTTTGCTTAGAGATTTTTTCTTTAAAACAGACATAATGATGAAACCTGGATTAATAGATGACATTGCTCGTGGAATTGTATCCACACCAATGGAAACCATGGATCAATTCATAACAGGCGAAGTAACCAATCATTTATTTGAAGATAGAAAAATACCATTTTCTGGAATCGATCTGATTGCTCTTAACATACAAAGAGCTAGAGATCATGGAGTACCTTCGTACAACAATTACAGAGCTCTATGTAATTTGAAAAGAGCAACCTCGTGGGAGGATTTATCTAGGGAAATAGCTCCAGAAACTATTCAAAGATTAAAGGCTACATATGCTTCTGTTGATGATATTGATCTATTTCCTGGAGGCATGAGTGAGAGACCATTGGCTGGAGGTCTTGTAGGTCCCACTTTTGGGTGTATTATTGCCATACAGTTTAGGCATGCTAGAAAGTGTGACAGATTTTGGTAAGGATTTTTGTTTGTATTTTACCTAATTTAGTACAATTTTGTTTAGGTATGAAAATAATGATCCAGTTGTAAGATTCACTGAAGCTCAACTAGCCGAACTTAGAAAAATAACTTTAGCCAAAACAGTCTGTGATAATTTAGATGGTAATAGTGATATGCAGAGGGCTGCTTTTGACTTGCCTTCTAATTTTCTTAATCCAAGGTAAATATTTCGAATACACAATGTTTTTTATTAATGTAAAATTCTTGCTTTAGGGTGCCTTGTAGAAATCATCCAAGCATAGATTTTAATGCTTGGCGAGAAAATGCACCTGGTCAAGGATGTCTCATTGGAAATAGACATTTCCAAGTGGGAGACAGCGCTTTTCCAACCCCTTGCACCAGTTGCGTTTGCACCGCTGACGGTGGAAACTGCGCATCACTCAAAATAACCGATTGCAATCAGCTTATGAAAGAATGGTCCAAAGAGGCCATTTTACAAGACGAAGTCTGCACTGCACAGTGCGGCTTCCTGTTTCTCAACCCTTCAAATCCATTTTTGTCTAAAGCCAACGGGTTTCAGTCCAGGCACCAGTTTGTACGACAGGCAAATCCTACAGGATTCGATTTTCCCAGAGACGTTCCCGATTTGAGCCCTTTTATTGCTTGAGAAGGGTTCGCGACTGATTTTAACTTTTTTTTGTAAATGTATTTTAGGCTTAAGTTTCAAAAATATATATAGTTTCTTATACTTTTCAATTGAATAACCACAGTGCCCATTATATTATAGCCAGTTTATTTCATCAACAATTCAATGTATTTATATTCATTTTGGGCTTATGTATCTGTAGTATTAGGTTCATATGTAAATACATGGTGGCTCGACGTTTCAATAGTCACCCTGTATATATTTTAATAAACTCAGTTAATAAAAACTGTATATTTCTATGTATAAGACTAGAAAACGAATGTACATATTTGTATAATAATATGCACTTTTGAGTCAAGTTGCTTAGTGTAAAATAGAAAAAAAAAACATGTTTGCTGATTTTATTTTTCTATAATAAAAGTTGTATAAAACTTGTCCTAAAAATATCTAATCGTCTAATTGGCACAAACAAGCCACACCACGATTAATCCAATGCTTCTGGGGCAAATAACTATTAAAAGTTGTATACATGACAAAATTGGTGGAATGTCCTGTAGTGGACAAAACACCTCTTCTAGCGCTAGTTTTGTAAACGGGACAGTCGTAACAGGGAGTCGGTTTGAAATGGGCTTGTTGGGCGGGTTTCAGCCACATAATCGGGACCATATCGAATAATATTTTCGGAAAAGACTCAGCTAGTAATTGAGTTTTCCTGTCCCATCTGGCACCTTCCAGAAACAGACCCTAGAATTTGAGCAAAAAAAGGGTTACACTCATAGAAATTCCTTTTAAATTGTGCAGTTAGAAAAGTTTGTGCACTCAACATTCTCCAATAAACACTTACAGTAATCAAAACACTAAATTCCTGAATTTCCTGTACTTGCTGCATGAAACATCCAATTTTTCAAATACCTTCCACCACCCAGCAAATAAACTATCGCTTACCTTACAATACACTCCAACTTCTAACGTCTTTTCCACGTCCTGCTCGTACTTGGTAACGTAAAACTCGAAATGGATCCAATCGATGGGCAAATGCTTTTGTCGGGCGTAATTTTGCAACACCCCAGTCAAAAACGATTGAGTAAAATAGAATCCGGAGATCCAGAACACCAACGGGGCACCTTTATCGATCCAATCTTGTAGAAACTTTAATCTGGATTTGAATAAGTCAACCATGTGTTGTTTTAAATTGATTAGGTTTACCTTGTAATTAAATCAGTAACATACGATCCCAAAGGCTTCAAGCTGGGATAGCTTTTAGCCGCCCATGCCTCCGGTACTTTGCCAATTACAAGAGAGTGGCACGTTTCTTCTAGTTCACTTGACATCACTACCAGGCCTTTGACTGCTTTTATCATTTCTCTAAGGGTGTGTTTGATTACCGAAACCAATCGGTTGAACCGAATCAGTTCCTGCCTCAAGACTGTATTCATGGAATTTTCATAAATCACTGGGAACTTTTTACTGACTCCTTCAAAATCAAATGGGTCCGGGATTTTCAATAAAATGTCCTCGGCCAATGTGATTACTGCTTCTTGGCTTTCATCATCTCCTCCACTTTTGGTCAGTTGGGTTTGAGTAAGTAAAGCTCCGTAAAGAAGCTAAAATGAGTTTTCAGTTTGTAAATTTAAAAAAAAAAAGACACAGAAAAAATTTACTATTTGCGTTTCCTGGTTGTCCTTGGTAATGTCTGCATTTTCGTGCAAACCAAAAACTTCTGGCAAAGGTGTAATGGGCAGGGATCTGATGTATGACATTATACCTTCATACGTCATATCGGTGGGCACATAATACAGACCGCTTGGCGAGAATGAATATCTAAAACAATCAAAACTTGCTAACTAAAAATGAAGAGAAGGTTAAGAAAAATTGGGAGATTAAAAATTTTGGTCTTGGGCGGGATTCGAACCCGCGTCCTCAACATTGCCGGTACTACTCAAACTCAAACTCAAAATTCTTTGTTTTAAAATTTCATCATTACAATACACAGGAAGGAGGGTGATGCCAGCACACTGCGTGCCACATGCGCGCTTAGCGTGCTGTGTGGCACCCTCATTAGTTTGGCCGATGTTCTGGACATGCGCGTTTAGCGTGCTGTGTAGCACCCTCATTAGTTTGGCCGATGTTCTGGCCGACAAACCGCTATCCTTTTCCTATTGAGACATTTTCGCAACGTTTCCTGGTTATCTTTAACCGGTATTTCTTGACCTTTACCACGAATGGCGCACATTGGACCGCTATATCAGCCAGCTCGAAAATTAGGGGGTGATGCCATGATGTGGAGTGCCGAGCGCGCAGCGCCTTTTTTGTAGGGAAAAGTTCCAAAAAAAACCCACTTCCAAAAAATCGTGCCCCGTAGGGCAGTTTGGTCCATTGGACGCTGCCTCAACAACAATTGTGAGCTAAGGGTATGTGCGCGTGTTTGAATCAAATGGGGTCGACAGCCCTGCACCCTGACCAATCCTGAGACCTGAGGAGCCTCTAGGTAATGGTTTTGGTGCAGGTGATGTGGATTGTATGGGATGTCAGAGAATGAGGGTTGGGGGGATTGGGTGCAAGAATTTACCGGGATTGGGATGTGCATGTTTGCAGTGCCTAGATTTGTTGGTCGAAATGGGGGTGATTGATGGTTAATTAGACAAAATCATTTCCTCAGAGCCAGCGAAAGAGGAGTCAGCCACACACCAAATCTCTGGCTAGTTGGAGTTTTCTGAAGAACCGAGGATAGAAATTAGACCTTTGATGGAATTGCCAATTGCCTGCTTTAGACTTGGCTGTTGGCATCATCGCCAAATCTTTCTTGTCTAATTTTGTCTTGACGATTGTATTTTTGCTGTGCATTGGATGGGTTTTTAATTTGGAGCGTGATTAGCAGGTCTTGAAACGTGGAAGGTGTTCATGAGGGTTCAAAATAGAGTGGTAAATTCTTGTATGGGGGTTCATACCTCGTTGCAGTGTAAAAGGGGATCCACTGATTCCATGTCTATAAAACTTGTCGCTGACGTCGTCCAGGTAGAGATATAAGGAATGCATGCTTGCGCATGCATGTCCCTTATTATGCTTGCTCCACTATAGGATGCTATTGGCATGGGCCCACAAAGATCTGTGTATACTAGCTCCAGTACCTCTTTAGCCCGTTTACCTCCAAGTTTACTAAATGGTTGTCGTGTTTGCTTATCTAAAAGACAAACAGTACAGTCATCTACTTTTCCATCACAGTAATCAATGCCTGTTGCAATGCTGTTTTTCAATAAATTCATGCTTATTCTGTTCAAATGACCAAGTCGTTTATGCCACAAATTCTGCGTTTCTTTAGCGAAGTATAACAATTATTGACAGCTTTTCCATGGAAAGAGGCTATGAACGAGGAATATAATTCTCTAACGGAAAACAAAGCATGGACTATTGTGAATAAAGAGAGAAATCAAAATAAGGTAGTGCAGTGCAAATGGGTTTTTAAATTAAAAAGTGATGTGGATGGAGAGAGTAGATATAAAGCTCGTCTTGTTGCACGTGATTTTACACAACAGTATGGAATAGACTATACGGACATATTTGCACCTGTGCTGAGGAACTCTACCTTAAGATTGTTATTTGCATTATCTGTTAGTCTTCATTTAGACATAGAACATGTAGATGCCACAACTGCATTTATAAATAGTGAGATAAATGAGAGAATTATCATGACCCAGCCTGAAGGTTTTGTTGTAGATAGAAGTAAAGTTTGTCTACTAAATAAAGCCGCATCTATGGTCTAAAGCAAGCATCAAGAATATGGAATAAAAAAGTTGAAAAAACTTTGACAGGCTTGGGCTATGAGAAGTCTCGATACGAGTCTTGTGTTTACACTAAAAATTTTTTTCACACAATAGTGCACAAGAGCAATTATCTCTTTATGTGGATGATTTTCTTATATTTTCAAATAATAATGTTGAAAGTGAAAAACTAAAATTATCATTATCTCAGAATTTCAAAATTAAAAAGTCCTTGGTTCAGTAAGGAAATGTTTAGGACTAAAATAAATATTGAAGTAGATAAATCCAAAAATTTTAAGAATCCACCAAAAACATTACATTTTGCAATTATTAGAAAAATTTAGTACCTATGTCAGATGCAAAAAGAGCATTGACTCCTATTTAAGCTAGGTTAAAATTGGAAAAGAGTGAAAATTGTGATGACAATATTCCTTATAGACATTTAATAGGGTCACTGATGTATTTAGCTGTTAATTCTAGACCTGATATTCTATTTGCTGTCAGGTATTTGAGTCAATTCAATAATTGCTTTTCCAATATTCATTTTCAGCCTGCAAAGAGAGTCTTGAGATATTTTATGTGCCGGATCAGTTGGTTAGAGCGTAGCACCGACAATGCTAAGGACGCGGGTTCGAATCCCGCCCAAGACCAACAATAACTTTCTCTTCATTTTCAATTTCTACGCTTTTCGGTTGTTGTAACCGACAAAACTTCATTCCAAAACTTACTAAGACCCAACTAAAACCAGTTGATACCTCTCGAACGCCTAATAATATAAATCCTACTTCAGAAAAAAAAAATAATTCTCATACTTACAAAGCTGTTTTCACAGTTTCAGGCACATAAAATATAGACAAAAGCGAATTCAACAATCTCCTGTCTTTATCGTCAGTTACTCTGCCTCCATAATTACATTCTCCAGTCAGATACGTTAAGGCATCATAAGGCACATCAACATAATCATTCAAAAACATCCGAAGTTGAACGACGCTGATTCTCAAATCGGATTCGTTGAATTCGTAAGGAATATTCCAGCCCAGCGGTCCAAATTTACGTCTCTCTTGCACTAAAGCGTGGAAGAAACACAACGCAAACAGTAGACAATGGAACGGCTTCAAATTGGAACAACCAGCGTAAAATTCTGGCTGGGATATGGGATCGGATTGGTAGGACCTCAGCAAGTTTTGCCTGAGACCTTTGGGAGCTTCATTGGTCATTTTAACGCCGTTTTGTAAGATAGCCACTGGGAAATCATTGCTTGGATAACTGGTCAACCATAACCTGAAACTTGTATGAGTAGCTTCTGGAATTATTACTTCATCGCATATTCGATCTAATTCCTTCATCCAGCTAGCGGCCAGGTGACAGTTTTGCAGTACGGCCCATTGGCCTGTTACTAAACCAGTTGTTATCATGTTTGAGGCTATAGGACCCTAGTATGTAGGTAGAGTTTTTTTAATAAGAATTATCATCAAACCACAGAAAAATATCCTTACTTGTCCTTGTCCCAAAGATATGGTCATCAGGCTTGTTTTTGGTATGCCCATATCAGAAGCAAACTTAACCAGACAGGCCATAGGATCAGATCCTGGACTTAAAATAAATATAATAGGTGAACAACAGTTGCTATCGTTGTAAGACTCTTCTAGGTTGAATTGTGGAGGCTCTAAATAGGCTTGACCCATTTCTTCTACAATGTAACTCTAAAACTTTTAACTAAGTATTTGGTAAATATTCAATTAAAGGTCAAATATACTTGAACTGCTGGTACAATTTTATCAGGCCTAATGCATCTTAGAGTTACCAAACGTTGTAGGCCAGTCAAAGTGTCAAATGGGGCTGGACATGGTAGTGTATTGGGTTGCGAATTGTCGTAGAATTCTTTCCATTTCAGTATGTCTTTTTGGACTGATTCTCTAAGGCCTCCAAGACTAAAAATAAAAATTTGGTTGATTATACCACAATCAAAATCCCTTAACTAAAAACTTACCCACGTAATTGACTAGCCCTAACAACCTCAGACCAACTTTTATCAGACAACCATTCAGGAGCTGGATTTGGAAATGGATTTTCCAATGCTACACCTCCAGTTATCAAAAAATTCCACATATCTTCATCAATTTTATCCTTATAACAAACAAAAACATTCATCTGGCAAATATTTTACACAAACCACTTTACCTGTGATCTTGATATTCCCACAGTCAACACAAATGAAAATATTAATTTATCTTTTTCAAACAACGACCTACAAACATTTCTGTAAATGCTGTTAGTGAAATAATTACTTAAATATCCTAATCTTTCTTCTAAGACTGGCGACTGGGTACTATTAGTTATGGATTGATTGTACAGGTTTATAAACCAAACCAAAGAGTATTGATACATTGGCTCAATATTGGCCAAATCGGATATGCAAAAAAATAATATAGCCGAGTGTTTGGATACTGGAACGTATTGGTTTCTGGCATAGTCGATTTCACGTTCAGTAATAGCAGCTTGCTTCTGTTTTTCTTCAATTTCCGCAGACAATACTTTACTGGAAGACAAAATTTTAATAGCTGTTTCATCTTCTAAAATATTGCCCTCGGACGTAGATAAAACTTCTAGAATTTTATCTTCAATCTCCTTGAGCATTTTCTTATTATTTGCACTTTCTATAATCATGGCGTTTTTCTTTTCTTCTAATTCCGGTTTTTCTCTTGCAACCACGATACCCAACAGCTGATCTTGTAAACCTTGAGGAGTTATCATGAAGTTGAGAAGACTGACTTTAACAGCTATTTCTGGTAAGTAGTGGGGGTTTCTTAGTCGCGTTGTGATGAAAAATCGAAAATCGAAAGAATATTCTACAACGTTCTCAGCTAATTTGAGATACCAAACGCCTTGTTGCTTGAAAATGTTTTTTGATAAAATGGGATCTAGTACAGCGTCTAAATCCTCTCTAATGTTTTCTAGTATAACCGGAGAGCCGAAGGTAATAGCATTTTCTAATACTCTAATGTAATTGCCGTCAGTCAGTTTAATAACTTGTAATCTGTTATGTTTCTCCATGTTTTTAACCCATTTATTGGCTTGGCCTACAAGGAATTGGTCATTGGGTGTGAGAAAAATCAAAAATCTCACCTTGTGGATCAATCATAAGCGGATATCTTCTGGCAGTAGTAGCGATGATACCATTTTCCACGCTGTAGTTATCCACCGGCAAACCAGCAATGTTCCAGGATCTAATGACTACAGGTTCTCCCATTGTGATTACTAGCGAGTAGTTTTCTGAGCATGGAATGCCTAGTTTCAGACAGTGAATATTCCAGCCTTTCAGGAGTTCTCTTCTACAGGAAACAAAATCATTTATTAATTTACCTTAACGGGATGAAACATTTACACCAGCATCAATTATTAGCTTACCTATAATCTACAGTAAAAGCTCCCAAATAAGCAATAGCTCCAGCAGACAACAGTACATCACCTATAACATTATTAAGCAACAATTCCAAAGCTTCAGCAGTTTCCAGCCATCTGGCCTTCTCTCCACCTAAACTTTCAATCAACTTGGAAGCTCTATCAAGTTTCTGAGAACAGACATAAATTTGATCTTCCAGCTCTTTTTTCTTTTTTGTTTCGGCTGCAAATTCGTCGTTGAGAGCTTGCAATTTGTCTGAAACCTATACAAAACTTACAACAATGTCAATACCATACATATTAAATGTTTTTACTTCTTGTAATTGAGCTCTTTTCTCATTTAAGGTATCCATTTGCAAAGCCAATTCAGCTTCGGCTTCAGCTAATCGTGCCTTCTTTGGTGCAACAATTTTAATAACCCTATCGTAAACTTCCATGGCTCGAACCCATTTGCACAAACCCTCGCAGGCTGTGGAAACTGTTTTAATCCGTTCTGGATCGAATTCTCTGTCAGGCATATATCGGTCTCTTATTTTCTTCATTACTGGAACTGGAATGTTATCTTTGTCATACATTTTTAGATGCTCCAAAAATTTCATGTCTCCTAAAACTTTCACTGAAGGACCCCAATAATCTTCCATCATCCTTCCCGTAGTCAAATCGGGTTTTCTTTCGGGTTTTATTTGTTTCATCACACAAATGGCTTCCATCACCAACTTCACTCCAGATGGAGGATTTTTCATTGACTTCACCAAAGTGATATCGCTAGGTTTTAGAGTATCTAAAGCCTCAATGGCAGCTTCTAACGCAGGAATAGCTTCCGATAAATCAGATTCGCAATCGTCTTTGATGGCCTGAGCTGCTGCGGCTGCTTCATTCGCCAACGCTTCATCAGCAGCTACAACTTCTTTTTGTTTTTCAACAATAACAGTATCCTGTTCAATTTTGATCATTAATTTCTCAGTTTTAGCTTGAGCCACAATCAGTTTTGGTTGCAAATCGTGCAATTCTTTTTGCATCAAGCCTACTTGTCCAGCTGCAAAGCCTAACTTTTCAAGTCCCGTCATGTATCTGTTAATCAACAATCTGATTTGATCAACTTTTCTGCCATATAAACTGATAAAAGTATGTATCAGCTCCAAATAGGACGTAGGGGTAATATAAGTCTTCCGTTTTTGCTCTCTATAGAAAATCTTGGCGCAATCTTGCACGGTGACGTGAAACTCCTTGCACATCGATACGCACTTTTCGATCATTTCGCTTTCGATGTTGGTTTGACACAGGAACATGTTGGCGACACGTTCTAGAGCGTCGTCGGGCCAATTTTGGAACCAATCGATGGTACAGCAATTGATTAGTGATGGAAACATGCGACATCTGACTCGGAATGCGTCACCAATGGGACTGAAGCATAATGCTACGTGCAAGTTCTGACGGACCCGTTCTATAAAGTAGTTGTAGAGAGCCAAGGGAGTTGGTTCGATTTTTCTTCCCTAGAAAAAAAATTCTATTGTGAAATATCTATGGGAAATTAAAAGTGAAATATATCATCAGAGTATCTGGAATTTAAAGGAAGTGACACCGAAAATATTGGTAAATATATTCACCTTTTTACTGGAATGTCAAAGGAAATGAAAGCAGCTAGAGGGGTATTTATACTGATAAGGAAAAACTGGAAAAACAAACTGGGAAGCTGTAGATGAAAATATCCTAACAATCAACTTGAAACTACATGGTTATTACATCACCATTATAGCAGCCTACGCTCCATCAGAGGACGAAAGAGTCGGCATTAAGCAGGAGTTTTGACAAATTGGATGAAAACCTAGTAGATATTGGAAAAAATAGAGAAATCATAATGATAGGGGATTTCAATGGAAGAACGGGAAAGTCGAACAATAGCCCAATTGTAGGACCAATTGGAGAAGAAATAATCAATGATAATGGCCAGAGGCTCATACATCTCTGTGAGATTCACAATCTTAGAATAAACAACGGATTTTTCAAACACAAAGATATTCACCGCTACACATGGATACAGAATACCCTAACCCAAAACTATTGAACCCTGAAGAAAGAATTCTATGAGAACATTATAAGCAGGAGTCACCCATGAAGCAATAGAAACGAAGAGAAAGGATACCAACAAGAAATACTAGTGGAACGAGGAGATATATGGATGGCTAACAACAAAAAATGAACAAGACCTTGAAGTTTATAAAGGCACAGAAAGACAACTAAGAACGTACATTACTATAGCTAAGAACGAGTCATGGGATAAGAAATGTGAAGAAATTAACATCTACACATAGGAGGAAGGAAATACTCAGAGGTATGGAGATTTATATCAAATGTTTGATGAATAGATGGCTATCATATCCTGTTAGATTGTGGAAAAACACAGGAATAAAACTGGGATGTTGGTAGTATAAATTACAAATATTATGTGCCACACCTCGGTATTTTCCAGTTGAATGATCATGATCCCTTACTTTTTCATCTAAAGGATTAAATTTTTCCTTACAAATACTGCAAATGATACTATTTTCAAATTGAAATTCTTCTTCATTTGTTCGAGGAACCATCGGTACCACATGTTTTAAATATTTATTAAAAATTCTATGAACATGAGCTTCAATTCATTTGCAAAATTCATCAGCTGCATCAAGACAGGAAAGTACAGGGCTGCTCTCCAGGTAATTAAACCAGAGTAATGGATAGAACACTACAAGGGTCTATTACAAGAAAGTATTTCGAAATATACAGGGTTGTTCACGAACATCGAAACACAGGCGTTCTACATATTTGGCGCCCAACGTAGGGCCTGGGCCGGTATTCTCGTTCTCGAAAACGCTCACCGCTTTTGAGTCGCTCGGCACTTCATAATATGTAAATTTACATTTGTATTTGTTTGTTTATGGGTATTTGAGGCACGATTAAAAAAAAAAACGCTTACACACATTAATTTTGTATTCAAAGGGAAACTTTTCGACCCCATCGGTATTTCGCTCGGGTGCACCCCCTGGGTGGGGTGACTTCTACCCCTCTTTTTAAGACAGGGAAAATGGGTTGAGTGTTACCTTGTTTCAAAGGTATTTTGATTCTCGTCACAACTGTGTACTTTTTTTGAAAATCGAATGGTTAGTTCTCAAGATATTCACTGTAAAAGTTACGAAAAAAGTGAGGGCTCTGGACTGGGGCATCGATGCGATCATGGTCCAGGAGCCCTATGCACGAATGGAGGAGTTGGATGGGTATATCAGATTTTCGTGTGGTGAAAATGCGAAGGCGGAACTGTGGGTCAACGAGAGGTTGAACGCGGCAGGTTTAGGCAGCATCTGCACGCCCAACGCAGCAGCATGTACCATCCAGACGGCGTTAGGGAGGATCACTCTGGTGAGTGTGTATGATGAGTCTGGGGTAGGGACAATATGAGATTCAGGAAAATAGAGGAGGAAAATTAAGAACAGAGAGGGGAGATTGTAATAGGGAGCGATTTTAACGCAAATAATGAGGCATGGGGCGGAGAGCACACCGATACCAGGGGAGAGACACTGCTGCTCTGGGCGGTGGAAAACGCAAACGACCCAGACTCCCTAGCTACATTCAGTGGCACACAGGGTAGTAGCTGGGTCGACGTCACGATGGCAAGGTAATGGAGGAAAAAACCTTGAGTGACCACAGAGCCGTCAGGTTTGAAATAGATGAGTGTGTTAGTAGTAAGAGGAGAGATAAGTGGATGAATGATTATAATAGGACGAACTGGGTAGAGTTCGAAAGGCGAGTAAGTGAGTTTCAGGAGCAGGCTATAATCACCGATCAGGATCTGAAACGAGAAGCCGAGCGGTTCCAGAGCCACTGCTCTGAAGTGTGTAAGACTACGATTGTAAGGAAAAGAGTAAGTGAAGTTTTGAGGAATGAATGGTGGGATGGGGTACTGTAAAAAATGAGAAGGAAGGTTAACAACACTGCAAGCAATCACATTGTGCACAGCTGCAAGAGGGGGAAAAATGCAGGAGTATCGGGTGGCCCGGCTACAAATACAGATCACAGATGAAATCTAAAAAACCTATGAGGGATACAAGGAAGATTGAAGAATTACCAGAAAACAATGGGTGGGATAGAATTTGGGAATATATTACAAAAATGGGGATTAAACAGGGTGTGTCGGGACAGGCGAGGGAAGGTGAAGGCTACGCTGAGATGGGGGATGAACTCGACAGAGAACTCATTGGAAAATATCACCCAGCTCCCGGCGTGGCTGAAAAAGATGAATTGGCAGCTTACGCCAGGCAAAGAAGGAACAATTCCAGTACCCGGTCCAAATATGATTACGAACCAAGTTCTGGAGAGATTGAGAATGTGATATGTAGTTTTAAGAATGGGAAAGTCACCGTAGAGGATGGGATACCAAACGAAGCGGTGGTTCACGCAGAACGAGAGTATCTAACGAGTATGTATGTGGTTGGCTGGAAGAGAAGCATTTTTCCAGTAGTGTGGAAGATCGCCAAGCTTGTGTGGATCACAAAGGGGCAAGGCGGTGTGTGAATACTGTGATGCGAATAAAGAATTTCGGATGGTCTTGAAGTGACGCGGAAATAAACCACCAAGAAAACAATTGAAGGTTCTGATTATCCCAAACAACTAAAGACCTAGGATCCAACTACTGAAAAATAATCAAGAATAACAAGGACTTACCAAACAACCATCCCAGGAGAGATCATCACTTAAACAGCACAACCAGAAACTTCAATTAAAAATTATCTGAACATCGATATCCAGAAATTATTGAAAGCGGATACCCTATATTGACTAATACATTGGAATGTGAATAGAACAAAAGTTCATGGACTTTTTTTTTAAGTGCTTTCAACAATTAACATTCCAAAGGAGCCGAAAATTTTCTAAAAGGATCAATAAATCATGCACGAGCCTATATGATGATACCCACTTAACAAACCACTTAGCGACGCCCTTGATAATTAAGTAGTTGATCGGATGATTCAACCACGAAAAATCGAGTTCAGAAAAAATAAAGAAATTCAAGGCAATGGAGGGACCAATGATATAAAAAGGCTACTTTGGCAGGAGAAAATCAGTGTTCGAGAAAGAGCGAGTAAACTGGCAGAACTACGGCGTGAAGGACCAGTGTCGGTTGACTAATTAAGAAACAAGTAGTAATCGAGAATCGAGAGACCTGTGTCCAGAAAGTCAGAACTACGGCGTGAAAGAATTGTCGAATTAACCGAGAGTAGAAGCACGACGTGAAATAACAGCGCGAAAATATTCGAGTTTTTATTAATTGTTCATAATCAAAGTAAATTTCTTCGACCAATAAGATTTCCATGTAATTAGGTGTGGCCAGCAGTAAATATATTATTGTTAAGTGTAAGTGGAGTTTTTTTATGTTCAGCCAGAAATTGTGAAGGCAAGAGTATGAGTCGAGTCAAACTGTGAATTAAAATTTTACTTGGAATAATATAAATTTTCCTTAACAGTTAACTGATGCTTATTAGAGATTGAATAATTTTATTGTAAGATTATTTATTACCGACGCCTGTAATTTAATAACAAGCATTATTTATTTCAATAAAATAAACTTTATTTTAATTGACCACAATATTTCTGTGTTTTACTCTCTACACGCAAATAGGACCCACTTTAAACTGTGTCTCCACTCAGAAACTAAAGTCACCGCTCGCCAATTTAACATCTTGCCAAGTTTCTGAATTTGGGGTCTCACACTGGTACGGACACGTAGAACAAATGCCAAATGTCCACATGAAAAAAGTAGAAGAAAACGAGGAAGATCAAAACTGGAATGACAGCAGACCATACAAAAGTCCATGAGTGAAAGAAATCTCTCATCAGAGGATTGCGACGATAAAAGAGGATGGAAATTAGATGTCGCAGAACGAAGAAAGACGTTCTAAAACGACACATTAATATCTGGAATTCTAGAATAGGTACACCCTTTGTACAACGATAAAATTCTTTTATACCATTTCTCTAGCGGCAGTTTGCATTTTCTCCAAAATTTCAGCTTTCTCCTCTGGAACATACAAATTAGGCACATCGGCAGTATTCAGGACAGTGCTGATATCTTCCACAAACATTTCATCTGCAACTTGAGTGTCTGCAAAAATGAAGACGATTGGCTTGCCTTCGATTCCAGCTTTAAGAAGTAATTTTTTCAAGTCTTCCCTCCAGTCTGCTATGCCATAGTTTCTTGTCAATTCAATCTAAAAAACATAATCAACATTTCTCTTAAATATAATCAATTTGATCCTGACCTCAAAAACACTATACTCGGACATAGCACTAGCAAGTTTAATAGAACTATGACGTCCAGAACCACCTATACCAACCAACAAGGCATTACCATTGGGTTGGTTCAAAACCCTAGACACTCTGGACACGTGCTCGATGGCAAATTTAAACATAACCAAATTCATTGGTGATTTTGTAATCATATTGTATTCACTCAAATAGTATTCCATTTTTTCGATTAGAAGTTCCATGTCGGATATTTCATCGTAAATCTTAGGTTCAGCGTCGGGTTCTATGTAACTGCCAAAAAATAAATTCCTTATATGTTGAGGCCCTAATCTTGTTTCCTCGGGTACTAGTGTTTCGCATACTTTATCCATGGGTTGACGGAAATTCTGGTAAGTTGCTTTGTACACAATATCGAACAGAGCTTTTCTATCAGCATCGTCAATGAGCCTATCATGAAATACTCGGTAAGTTTCATGTATCCATAATCTGATGAATTTATTTTGATCGTCCATTTTACTTGGAGGCGTTGCTAGAAGCCCATTAATTACTCTTGAAAAATCTCTTAGAGAGAATGTATAATGTGACTTTGTGGGAGTTGGCAAAAACTTTAAGGTGGCTTCCTTGAATACTTCGTTTGTTGCTCCAACAGAGAACTATATGTAAAGCAAAATAATAATAGTAAAGGTGCAGCAAGAGTTCAACAGCAAACCCCATGTAAATCTCCATAAAAAAACGCTATGGTCCAAATTGCGGCTTCTTCGACCATTTCCAGGTAGCCCCTCCCACGTTTAATAACACCTCAAAGACAACTCCAAGACATCTCAACCACATCTCCAAGCCAACAACAACATCTCCAAGACATCTCAACAACACCTCAAAGACAATTCAAAGAAACTTCAAATTTTATTTAACATGCTTGTTGTTGTTGAGATGTCTTGAAGTTGTCTTTGAGGTGTTGTTGGGATGTCTTGGATATGTTGTTGTTGTCTTGGAGTTGTCTTTGAGGTGTTATTGAACGTGGGAGGGGCTACCTGGAAATGGTCGAAAAAGCGCAATTTGGACCTTAGCGTTTTCTTATGGAGATTTACATGGGGTTTGCTGTTGAACTCTTGCTGCACCTTTACTAATATTTTTTTTATTGATTAGTGTACTTAGGTATACCTTGGCCATTCTTTGTACCACATCAGCATACGTTTTACCAAAATGCCAATCAATTATAGTAGAAAATATTTTATTCAAAGTACTATCATCAAACGCATCAATTCCTATAACTTGCATGTGCCGCAAAAATCTGTCAGTTATTTCGTTCCTGCCTCCTCCAGGCACACCCATAGCTCCAACAAAAAGCTACACAAATAAAATATGACCAAATACATTAATTTTTTCTATGTTAAATTCTTACAACATCCACTAATTGCAGCATTGAAGTATCTTTATCGAACCAATGACCATGATCCAACCATTGCCTGAGCAATTCCACAGGAGGCTGGGCCCCATAAGTTTCTTTCTGAGGCATGCCTACATCGTCAACAAAAAGAATACATTGTTTGCCCATAGATGGACCATAAACACCACGTCTTCTTTTGTCAAGTTTTGACATTACCATTTCTTGAGTCTAAATTAATTTAATAATTATTACAATAACTGTAAGTATTTGGTAGAAAAATTACCATTGCAGATGAAGTTCTTGCGCTGAAATTAATCACGTTGGGCAGGAATCTTTCTTTGGGTAAACCTAATAAATGATCCAAAGTAACGGCGGATTTTCCAGTACCAGTCGGGCCAACATATAAAATTGGTATGGTATTCGTAAGGCACAATTTCAAAAAATATCTTTGCCGACAAGAGGTGTTTGTGGTGATTATTAATTGGCTAGCCTAAACAATTAACTTGTAAATAACCATAATTTATTGTTATTATAGGTTTACCTTGGCATTTGGAGGTATTTGCTGAATTTTATCAACAGTATCGCCCCAAGATATCCAACTGCCATTATTTTTTTTGTCGTATAACCAATCAAAAATATCAGACCGATCGGGGAATAATTGATTTTTAGACAATTTGAACGATTTAGGTTTGGGATGGTTCTTGTTTTGGCCTTCGAGAAGTTTTCGGAAGAATGTATCAAATAATTTCTGACTTTCGTAGTTGATAGTGGAACCCAAACCCCAAGCGAGACAAAATAGAAACACACACTGCATCCAAACGGTACTAACTTGGGTTTCTTCTAGCAAAAAGCAATTAAATAGCCTTGTAAAAGACTAAAATAATTTTATTTCAAAACGATTTTTAATATAAATTGATTTGACTTACATAAACCAAATGTATGTCAGAAGTCTCCACAAATTTCCTGCAACTATTATTAATAAAATCTAAAGAAGGTGGTACAAGCCAATCGGTGCACTCAACCAAAATTTCTATTTGTTCTGGCAGCAGAATTTTTTCCAGGGTAGCTACGTAAGAATCCATCAACGGGTTCCAACCTAATAATTGAGGCTCCATATAAATCATTCCACATCTGGAAACTGTGGCTGGAGACGCATGCTCTAAATCAGCCGGCTCAAATATTAGATTCATTTGCGGCGACATTTGTATAATTTCTCCAGACATAAGGCAAAGCTTTTTGTTGTCGTCTAGTACAGTGTTCATGTTTTCTATCCATACAGCGTCTACAGGGCCATCGAAAAGAATCCATTTTCTGTCTAATGTTGTGCTGTTCGCGAATTCTCTATAAAAAAATGATGCCGTGACATTTGCCAATGGATAAAGGAGCCATAGATAATCAAAATTTGAACTATTACCGGCTCTTGATGGGTCAGTTAAGTTAGCCCCCCCTCCCCCATAGAAAATTTCTGGATGAAAACTATCCCATAATTTTGCTCCACTAATTTCGATTTTTTCTCCATTACAGTGGAGAGACTATGTAGCCTATTAGGTGGGGGGGGGGCTGAATTAAAGCTAGCCCCCCCCTCCCCCAGTGAAAATTCAAAAATTTGATCATGCTCATTTTGTTCTCCGAGTTTTGCTCCATTTTGCTCTAAATCGGCGAGTTTTGCTCCATTACCAGAAATGACCTACAGAGCTCCCAAGAATCTCTCCCAACCCCCCCAGTGAAAATTTTGAAATATGATCATGCCCATTTTGCTCTCCAAGTTTTGCTCCATTACCAGGACAGACCTCCCACAAATCTCTCCTAGACCCCCCACCGGTGAATTTTCTTAAATTTGAACATGTTCATTTTGTTCTCCGAGTTTTGCTCCATTATCGGCGAGTTTTGCTCCGTTTTGCTCCATTATCGGCGAATTTTGCACCATTACCAGGAATGACCTACAGAGCTCCAAAGATTCTCTTTTTGCCCCCCAGTAAAAATTTTGAAACTTGATCATGCTCATTTTGTTCTCCGAGTTTAGCTCCATATTTTGCTCCATAATCGGCGAGTTTTGCTCTATTACCAGGGATGACCTACAGAGCTCCCAAGAATCTCTCCCAGGCCCCCCAGTGAAAATTTTGAAATTTGCTCATGTTCATTTTGTTCTCCAAATTTGCTCCGTTTCGCTCCATTATCAGCGAGTTTTGCTCCATTACCAGGAATGACCTACAGAGCTCCAAAGATTCTCTTCTTTACCCCCAGTGGAAATTTTGAAACCTGATCATGCTCATTTTGTTCTCCGAGTTTTGCTCCATTTTGCTCCATAATCGGGAGTTTTGCTCCATTACCAGAACAGACCTACAGAGCTCCCAAGAATCTATCCTAGCCCTCCCCCCCCCGGTGAATTTTTTTAAATTTGAACTTGTTCATTTTGTTCTCCGAGTTTTGCTCCATTATCGGCAAGTTTTGCTCGATTACCAGGAATGACCTACAGAGCTCCCAAAAATCTCTCCCAACCTCCCCAGTGAAAATTTTGGAATTTGATCATGCTCATTTTGCTCCGTTTTGCTCCATAATCGGCGAGTTTTGCTCCATTACCAGGACAGACCTACAGAGCTCCCAAAAATCTCTCTTAGCTCCCCCTCCCCTGCCGGTGAAATTTTTTAAATTTGAACATGTTCATTTTGTTGTGCGAGTTTTGCTCCATTATCAGCGAGTTTTGCTCCATTACCAGGAATGACCTAAAGAGCTCCAAAGAATCTCTTCTTGCCCCCCAATGAAAATTTTGAAACTTGATCATGCTTTTTATTATCCGAGTTTTGCTCCATTTTGCTCCATAATCGGCAAGTTCTGCTCCATTACCAGGAATGACCTACAGAGCTCCCAAGAATCTCTGCCAGCCCCCCTAGTGACAATTTTGAAATTTGATCATGCTGATTTTGTTCTCCGAGTCTTGCTCCATTTTGCACCCATTATCAGCTCGTTTTGCTCCATCACGAGCCGTTTTCGGATGCCCCGCTTTGAGCGCTCAGTGCTTTCAAGTTAGTCCGAAGTACTCCAGCTACAATTTTAGACATTCGAGCGAACAGAGTTTGGCGCTCTCAAGCTGCTCTTACTTTCCTCGCCTCTTTGCCCTGATGCACCTGTAACTGATTTTCACACCAGCAAAAATTTTGTTTGATCATATTCATTCTGTTCGCTCCGTTTTGCTCCATGATGGACGAGCTCTGCTCCATTACCTGACCTGCTTTCGGGTGCCACGCTTTGAGCACTCAGGCGCTCTGAAGCTGCTCTCATTTTCCTCGATTCTTTTTCCTGATGCACCTGTAATGGAGAACAAAATGCGCATATAGAAACTCCAAAATTTTGGGAGCTGTGTAGGTCTCTCCTGGTAATAGACTAAAACTTGCCGATTATGGAGCAAAATGGAGCAAAACTTGGAGAACAAAATGAGCATGATCAAGGGGGGACTGGGAGAAATTCTTGGGAGCTCTGTAGGTCATCCCTGGTAATAGAGCAAAACTCGCCGATTATGGGGCAAAATATGGAGCTAAACTCGGAGAACAAAATGAGCATGATCAAGTTTCAAAATTTTTACTGGGGGGCAAAAAGAGAATCTTTGGAGCTCTGTAGGTCATTCCTGGTAATGGAGCAGAACTCGCCGATTATGGAGCAAAATGGAGCAAAACTCGGATAACAAAAAGCATGATCAAGTTTCAAAATTTTCATTGGGGGGCAAGAAGAGATTCTTTGGAGCTCTGTAGGTCATTCCTGGTAATGGAGCAAAACTTGGAGAACAAAATGAGCATTATCAAATTTCTAAATTTTCACTGGTTGGGGGGGCAGCGTTAATTCAGCACCCCTCCCCACCTAATAGGCCACATAGTCTCTCTCTCTACTGTAATGGAGCAAAAATCAAAATTAGTGGAGCAAAATTATAGAATTTTCATCCAGAAATTTTCTATGGAGGGGGCGAACTTAACTGACCCGCTCTTGATTCTCTGGAAAACTTTCCTGGTGCCAATCAAGAGCCGGTAATAGTCAAAATTTGAACTTTCATCAACTCTGGATTGGCTAGAGAATTTTTCTAGGGGCATTCAAAGCTCAAGAGCCGATAATAAAACCTAGGAAGCCTAACTCTGCCTATAATTTTATAGTTCTAATACCTGAAAGTATTTGCTAGTACCCCGTCAGACCATTCATGAGATGCAGGATCAAAAGACCCATAAAGTTGACCCATGCTGATGGCTTTAGGGTTGATTATTCTATGAATCACGCCGTTTTCTTGCAGTTTAGCCTCTGGTCGGCTACATAGACGTCCTAAACCATTAGCCAGAGACTACAATTAAAAAAAACTCATCAATTAGTCAATTTTTAAATTTACAAAAATTTATACAGTATAAGCACTGGTCTTGCCACCCATAGGTCTTCCAACAATCATCAATCCATGCCTCACTAAAATCATTTCGTAAATTTGCATGCACTTCTCCACAAACCATGGAGTGGGCTGAAGATTTTTCTGTTTAATATCATCGATGAGGCATTCAATTAGCTCGGATCTTTCGAAAGCTGGTACTTCTATGTCTGGGAACAAATCTTGGTAGATACCAATGAAAAGTGGAACATCCTAAAATGGTAATGTAGGGAAAAAAATTATTTTAAATGATTCGTCGTACTTGTGCTAAAAATTTGGGCAAATTAACATCAACAATGGCCCTCAGAACAAGCTGTTCTTCCTCTGTTTTTGGATAAGTTCTTCTCAATGCACCAGCTGCCAACAAAACAGATTTTACAGCTCTCATACCATAATCGTAATGATTTTGTGAGGATAATTGTTCCGAACATAACTTATACGTGTGAACGATTTTTTCGGCAAGGCTAAAAAAGTTTTATTAAGAATAGGAAAATAGTTTAAAATAAGAAGTACCTTTGAGCTTTTGTAAAACCATATGAGTATAATGAAATAGCCCCAATCATCCCATAGTCCGGTACCATCATGGCTACAGTCCTGAATAGGACTTTAAGATTGTCAGGTAATTCTTGCCGTCCAGCGTATCTATAGAATTTTATATGGCTCAAACATGTTTTTAATTTTTAGATACAGTTTCTTACCCTGGATTCATCGTAATAAACACAGTACAAGTAGCATCCAAAGTAATTTCAGTGCCCTCAAATACAAATTTGGTTAGTTTGGCAGCGACGGCCATTTGGATGCTCAAAATTTGTTGCGCTACCACTGAAAGTACTTCAAGTTCGATGCGGTTGAATTCGTCAAAGCATGCCCAGGCACCACTTTGGGCTAAGCCCTACAATAAATGTATAGGTATTTGTGATTTTTTTTTTGAAAACACAACAAACTTTAAAGAATTTGCCTAAGGCCTTATAATCTAGACCGTCAGAGCAATTGAAGACGACGCATTTTTTCGCAACTGCTTTGGCCAAGTCTTTACAAGTTTCTGTTTTTCCTGTGCCAGCTGGACCTTCGGGAGCTCCTCCCAAATTCAGTTTCAGAGCACCCATAAGAGTACTAAAATATTAGATAAGTTTTATTGCATGTCAAGCATTCTACTTCATATTTTTACCGATAACATCTATCAGTAAGAGGCGTAGCAACCAACCGTCCAGTATTACCCAAATACTCAAAACCATACAAAACTTCTGTAGTTATCATGCAAACACTAACAGAATCACCTCTCCAATAATAACGCAGCTGAGAAATCCAATTAAAGTCAGCTACAGACTTGACGTTGAGCTCTTTAAGTTTTGATACAATATCCCTGCCTGAAATAATTGACTAGTTATTTGCATTAAACACCTATTATTTGTATTTTTACAATGCACATCAATCACAATCAAAGCTTCCACAGTAACCTGATTGTTCGGCTTCAAAGTACCCTGTACCATTTTAACGCTAGACTCAATTTGCTCAGTGCACAATTCCTCTTGGTCAGCTAAATTTCCGCTAAATATAGCGTTAGTTACTTCGGTTGTCCATTCAATGCAATCGACGCATTGGACAATTTGCCCAGGCCAAGCCAGAATCCACTGAGGCCGTTCGGCAACCGGATAATGGTCTATTGCCTTTTTGGTTATGTCTTTTAGGGATTGAATCATTATTGCTTCAACTAGGATCAGCCATTTTTCAACCATACCCTATTAGAATAATATTTATGAATACATATTTCGATTGATTAACATTCGAAATTAACCTTAGCATCAGCTGGAATAATTTTGCTGCTTAAAGCAACGCGCTCCTTTTCAGCACTAACCATTCCAATAACTTCTTCGTCCTTGGTGAAATCTAAAGCGTAAATACCTTCGAAGCACTTTTTCAAGTGTGGCTGGACTCTTAAAGGATCTTTGGTTTCAGAAAGGATTTCTAGTAGCTCATCATTGGACAAAAAGAAAAATCTTGGAAAGAACAAACGCTTTTTCTCCAAATAATCGTTTAAGCCCTTTTGAATTTCATCCAAAAGTCTGTTGTTCTCTTTTAAAAGTGCCAACATGTTTTTGTACTCGGTGGCCACTAGAACGTGAGTGTCTCGTGTACAATAAGTTTGAATCGCTCGCCAAACTCTATCCACTGTTTTGAAATGTCTAGCTTCCGTTGGCATTTGTCTCATAATATCTTCTGAACTGAATATGGGTTCTAAATACATCCAAGTAGCTTGACACTGAAATTGATAACAATAATTACTCTGAAAAGTATATTAAGCTTATCAGAGAAGGTCCAGTAGCAGACTCTGATTGCCCAATGCACGAAGAACCAACCAAAGACTCCGTTCCAACAACGTCAGAGGATGAAACCACAGACGCTGATTCACTAGTTGAGAAGATTAAGAATATCGGACTCAAGAGCGGAAAAATTTTTGTGGCAGAGAGAAAAAGGCGAGGAAGATATGGCTGCGGAGACATTTACCACAGCCAAACCTCAAACAAAAAACAAGACGACGGCCAGAAAGACACAAAGCACTAAAAGATCTCGATCTGAGTCGAAAAAATATACCAAAGCTAAGAAGCCCAGAACTGTTCCATTAGGTCCACAGACTGACTCCTATAGAATCGCGGCTAAAGGAAGCGGCTGGCAGTAATTCACGGAGGCCACTTGGACACTACACTAGATCAGAGCCAAACTGACCTGTTCCAAAACGCTCTAGTCGAGGCGATGTTTGCTACTCCTTCAAGTAGTAGCAACCCACCACAATTCAACAAAATATCGTTCAGCGTAGGAATCCTATGGATGACCTGCGCTAACCAGTAGACAGCAGACTGTCTCAGGAGAAGCATCGAACCCCTTGGCCAACTCTGAGAGGGTGCAGAGCTCAGGGTTGTAAACCTTGACGATCTCCCAGTAAGGCCAAGGTTCCTTGTTTTCGTGCCAGATGAGCCAGAAGCAACATCAGTAGGTCATCAAGACCCGTTTTGGAATACAAAACCTATGCCTAAAGATGGGAAAATGGCTCCTGCTGAGCCGGAAAATAGAGAAGGAAGGACAGCTCCTGGCCTTCTCTATGGATGAAAACTCCTCCAAGACTGTGGAGAGAACCCAGTTTAAACAATATTATAAGCTGGGACGCGTGACCTTCAGGGCCATCCGAAAGAGAAAGGATGGCGATCAAGGTAATTCAGATCAACCTCCAGCACAATAGGGTAGTTTCGATGGTCCTTTCTGCTGCTATGGGGGAAGTAGATATTGCCCTGATTCAGGAACCGTGGATTAGACACGATGAAATTAAAGGACTGAGCAGTGCCAATGAAGAGCTGATCTACAGCAGATCCAGTGTCACTCCTCGGACCTGTATATGTATTAAAAAGAACGTCAATGTACTGCCCCTAATTCTTTTTTGTTCTAGGGATTTGAGGGCAGCCTGAATCAGGCTCATCGGAGGTAATGGGCCGAGGGATACTATTATCGGCTCGGCCCACTTACCCTACGATGATCCGGTAAATCAATACCAACCAGAAATGTGGACGACTAACTGGTGGCGAATCCTCAGAGGTAGTTGCAGACACTGAATAGTACTTGCCTGACAAACACATAGCCCTACCAAAGTTTACGAAAAATGAGGAAACCTTCGTAGACTCCTGCGTAGCTGTCCGGATAGCGCAAGCCCTCTTATGGAGTTGATCGTCCCATATTCTATGATTTTCATGGACATATATATCGATAGCAGAGTGAGAGTCTTAATGGTTTTATTCTGACGTTCCGTTGGGTTAGCTCTAGGGTGGTAGCTGGCGTTAAATTGGATTCTACTATTATACTCGTCCGCAAACTTCTGAAAATCTTTACTGCGATACTGAGATCCATTATCACATAAAATAACTCGAGGAACACGAAAAATCATAAATACTTGTTTCTCAATTCTATTGATAATGAGTTTAGTGGATGCCGACCTCAAGAGAAACACTAAAGAAAATTTACTCAGGTAATCCGTTACTACCAGTATCATCGTATTACCCTTGTTGGAACGAGGTAATGGATCAGTTAAATCAGTAGATATAACCTTCCATGGTCTACTTGGTTTAGAGTGAGAGACCATCTGGTCCCTCGCTCCCTGAGTATCGGGTTTATGTGCTGCGCACTTATTGCACTTTTTCACATAGTAAGCTACATCCTGGGCCAATAAAACTTCTCCGCCAGTCTACAAAATGTTTTGTACACACCTAAATCCTAAATCCGATCTAACAAAAATGAATTCTTATGCAATCGGAATAAGTGTACTGAAGTGTGCTGTATCAGGTTTTTCTCAAAATTTCCATATTCAGACAAAATCCTACTGGGGGTGCTAACTTGACGCTCAGCTCTCCAAAATTTTGGAAATTAGATGAAACAAAAATGGATTCTTATGTAACCGGATGTTGGTGGATCGTAAGCTAACTCAATGGACTTCTGCCTATCTTCCTTTGGATCGACCAATTTCCAGTAGTCGGAAGGCCCTGAGAGATCTGGGTAATTCTGCTTGACATACTTATATAACTTTCCATCAGTATAACGCCAACTCAGAAACTTTAATGGAAAATCAAGAACGCTATTGACCATTTTATTATACCAACGATCTTTAGTTGATGGGGTTGCTATGACCTCATTCACACAATCTACAACAGGGACCGCACGAGACCACATATCAGGAACAACCAGATTCCTAGCGCTACGATGGATGACTCTATAATTATATTGTTGCAACTTAACTGACCAACGCACGAGTCTACCATTGGGATCCTTGAGACCCTGAAGCCATTTCAAGATGTAATGGTCTGTCACAACCGTAAAAGAAACGCCTTCAATATAGGGTTGAAGCTTTTCGATGGCCCAAACCAGAGCTAGACACTCTCGCTCTGTGGTAGTGTAAACCCTTTCTTGTTTGGTGAGGGAGCGACTCAGATAGCAAATGACTTTTTCTCCCTCAGCGTGCGGTTGTGTTGAGACTGCTCCGATGCCGTAACCGGAAGCGTCCGTCTGAATGACACAATTTTTTGAATAATCTGGACAACTCAGAATGGGCGCATCAACCAAAAGTCCTTTGATTTTCCTAAGAGCCTCTTCACACTCCGTGGACCATTCAAATTTGCGATTTTTCATTGTGAGTGCTGTAATGGGAGCCACAACAGAGGAGAACTCCGGAACGAGGCGTCTATACCAACTAAAACTTCCCAAAATCCTACGAACCTCAGACGCCGTCTTTGGCCTAGGCAACTCCAACATTGCACGAACCTTGTCAGGATCAACACACAACCCACGACTATCAACAACATATCCCAAATAGCGCATCTCTGGCCTACAGAATTGACATTTCTCCCAACTAACGGTGATGTTCGCCTTTCGCAACCGCTTAAAAATTTCCTGCAAAATCCGCAAATGTCCGTCGATATTCTGAGACAAGATAACCATGTCATCTAAATAGACAAAAACGTTTGGTTCCAAGTCAGCCCCCAATACATTGTCGATCAACCGCTGCCATGTAGCAGGCGCGTTGAGCAGACCGAACGGCATTCTTCGAAATCGGAACAACCGATGCCTACAAATAAATGCTGTCAGAGGCTTGGAGTCTTCATCCATGGGTACCTGCCAATAGGCGCTTTTAATATCAAGACTCGACAGGTACTTTGCATCTTTAAGTTTATCCAAAGTTTCAGAAACGAGGGGTAAAGGATAGCTATCTCGCTCGGTGACGCTATTGAGCAACCTGTAGTCAACGCAAAATCGATATTTGCCTGTAGTCTTTTTCTGAACAAGCACTACTGGTGATGCCCAAGGACTCTGACTAGGTTCTATTATGCCTGAACTCAACATATCGTCGATTCCGGTATCAATAAGTTTCTGAATTACGGAAGAGACTCTGTAGGGGCGTTGACGAATTGGTGGTGACGAAGTAATAATTTTGTGCTCGACCCTATTTGTGCACCCAAGACTGTCACCCATCAGCTGATTGGCTTCAGCAATTGTCCTATGCAGGAAATTGATTTCGAAGGGGGTAAGAACTGTTAATTGTTTCGAATCTAAGTTACAAATTGTGTCAGAGTTAGAGGAGAACCGCCACTCATCATGACGCAAGTCTGGAACGATACCTAACAAAACGCAGAAATCTAAACCTAAAATAAGTGAGTGTGGCAACTCAGGAATCACAACTACTTCCACTCTATCTCTGACCCGCATGGGGAGTTCTACCACCAATATCATATGCCGTTTGTCCATTGGCGGCTGTGCAAAGTAGCCGCCTCGAAGTATCTAACCGAATGTTAAGGTCTTTAATAATGTACCAACCATGTTGGCCAAGAAATGTACGAGAAGCACCAGAATCAAGCAAACCTAAGAGTCTGTGGCCTAAAACATCCACCTCTAAATATAGCCTCTCGTCTCTTTCTGCATGGCTCAAAATAAAATTAATGATTGGGTGAAATGACAGAGTCGCATCAAACTTACCACTCCTAGTCCGACCAACTAAGAGCGGCGATAGCCGTTTCCCGAACTACAAGCTGGACACGTTCTTTTTGTAAAGCCTTCCTTCCTGCAACCGAAACACACCAATTTCTTCGCCTCAGCACAACCAATGGCTCTATGGCCAGGTTTGTTGCACCGAAAACACACCACCTCCTTGGAAGAACCCTGATGCACCCTACCACTACGATTACCATCTTGTTCCAACCCACCATCCGACTCTTCCACCCTAAGTTCCTCAAGTCTTTCCACTACCTCTGGCTCCGCTCCAACATACGCTAAATCTGGTTCAAGAGAGTGTCCCTTTCGAGGAGGTGGGACGTATTCAGACTGCATGCGCTGTTCGATGCGTCTGCACAGGGACTTGAGATGAGACAAGCCTGTGATTTCCATTGCACCAAGTTGATTCTTGTACATTGGAGCAATATTACGGAGAAGAATATATAGTTTTGCCTCCTCAGAAACTGGACATTCCAACCTCTGGAAGTATTTGGATATCACCGCCTATTGTCTCATCGGCTTCCTGAGAGCCCCAATTTATTTCCTCCAATAACTTCTCGCTATATAAAAAGCTGACTGGTACTCCTCCTTGAAACTCTGAACCAATTCGTCCCAGGAATTCACCTCTGGACGACAGTCCTGGTAGAACTCGTAAGCTCTGCGTTCAAATAAGTAAATTCCTGAATTTAGCAGAATGTGCTTACTAACACCTCTTGCAGCCCTGAAGTCTTCTACCCTTTCAAAGAAGGCAGTGACTAAACTACCTCGTTTATCGCCGGAAAACTTTATGTTCCACTTGTGTGGAAGTATAGGGGCAAAACCAAAATTGTGAGCCACCTGAGCTGATTGTGTGAATGAAGGCTGAGGTTCCTGTGCAACTGGAATATTGGCCCCTTGTGCAACTGCAAAGGGAGAATGTACAGGGGATGAACTTGACAAGGGTACCGCTATAACCGAGCCTGAAATAGTGTTCTGAAGCACACACGAACTCAAGGGGGTTGGCCTATGTATCGGTGGTGAAGGACATCTAACTTTAGAATTTAACCTAACAATAAGCGATAAACTTTCAGCCAACAAAACTTGATGAATCTTTCTCTCCTCGATAGTAATAGGAATTATATTATCTGCAATGATTAAGTTTGCTCATTAGCTTCAAAAACTGAGTATCCTTATCAGACCCTGAAAAATCATCAACCAGCAAGGCTATATTATTTAAACTTCTGGTAACGCTTTGCGCGTCCTCCGCAAACAAGAACGGATAAGGGGGATAATGCAAACTTTCATTCGACCTCTCTATCTGTTTAGCTACCGCGAGACGGCCTCTCATTTCCTCAACTGTACCAGGTGCTCATCCTTGGCAAGCTTGAGACACTGTAGGACGAATGGGACACAGCTCATACGCGTAATTACGTCACAAACTGGCATGTATCTGATGGGGAAAGTTGCTCGGATCACAAATACAACAAATATGAAATTTCAGGAGAAACAACTGCAGTAAATTATTGAAACCCTCAAAATACAGACTGGGACGCATACAAAGCTGACCTGCAGTATAGTCTGCCGAACATCAAGAAGTTACTGAAGACATGGAGATGGGTGTGGATCAATTCAATGATGCAATCATCTCAGGCTTCAATGAAAATTGCCCACTTACAGCAGGCACATCCACCAGGAAAGTGCCTTGGTGGAACGAGAGCCTTGCAAAGTTAAGGAAAAAACTAGAACAGAATTCAATAAAGCCATGCGAACCAGGTAGTGGGAAACCACAACCACGTTGAAAATGTTCAAGAAAGAGCTGAGCGGATCTCAGAGGAAGTACTGTGAAGATATAGAAAGGTCTCAAGATTGTGCTAGACTTCAAAGAACTCTGTCAAAAGACCCGAAGACAACAATCAAATCACTCAAGAACAATCTTGGTGAATACACAAAGATGGCTAGGGAACTCCTGAGAACCGACTTTCCCGGCTCAAAAATAGTTGATTAGGTCAGTGGACATGGAATGTGCCGAGCATCCAGGAACTAGTGACTGACCTCGAAGAAAGTAGTCAACTATGAAAAAGTCAAATGGGCTATAAATACCTTTGATCCATATAAGTCAACAAGAACAGATGGGATCTATCCCATAATGTAGAACAGAACTGAACTTGCAAATAGGATACTTTATAACATTCTAAGAAGTAGCCTATAGCCTTTCGCTATATACCACAGGGCTGGAGGCACATTAGGGTAGATTGTAGATTGCGGGGGAGTCGTTTCGGCTTTTCAGCCGCTCAGCACTGCTACCTTTGCAGATATTAGGGTATCGTTTATACCAAAACCTGGAAAAATAGGACAGTGTTTTGGCAAAACAGACCACTACACTCAGACCAATATGCGTATCGGACAGGGATGTCAACAGAAACAGCGCTTCACTAGCTGGTGAGCATCTGGAAACCACATTGGCAAACAAAGACGTGATGCTGGGTTCCTTCTCAGATATAGAGGAAGCTTTTGACAACATTTCCTTCGATTTAATAACCAAATCTGTCAAGCATGAAGGAGTTGGGAGTTGACGACACCTACTGTGTGTGGATCAACTCCATGTTAAGTGAAAAAATCACCATCGTAGAGAAAACACTGGCGGCCAGGGTGTACAGGGGATAGAATTTGTGGGGGAGAGATTTTCAGTTGCTTGTACAGACCATTCGAGCTAAGCTTCCCGCAAGTAGAACTGAATGGGAACATGGCATACCGGAGACCAAAAAACAAGACCAGCTGGTACACAGACGGGTCGAAGACCGCGTCTGATACCGGAGCAAGGGTATACTCCGCCAACTATGCACTGGGAAGATATGTCCCTGTTTTTCAAGTAGAGGTATACGCTATACTCCAATGCGCAGCGGAGAACAACAGGAGAGCCACATCCAACAGGCAGATCCTAATGTCTGATAGTCGAGCGACACTGAAGGCCCTTTCGAGCCAGAGACTGTCATCAAGACTAGTATGGGAATGCCAGGAAGAACTCAGGGCCCTGGCGGACCAAATTGAGGTAATACTTATCTGGGTGCCAGGACACAGAGGAATCAAAGAGAGAGAACTCGCAGAAAGAGGGTTATGCCCGATTGCACCATCTCTCTTAAACTGAGGCTTAACGATAACTATCCCTTAAATTGACAGTATTGCATGGGAAAATGTCACTTTAAGGAATAGTTATCTCTAAGCCTCGGCTAAGAGAGACGGTGCAATCGGGCATTAGAGACAAAACTTATCGGGCCAGAACCGGCTCTAGGGATACCAAAAAGTATGACCAGAACTCAGAAGCCACATCAAAGTAAAGAACATCGGCGACACTGGACAACTTCCAGGCAGAATCATGGTAGGAAATTCATCGACCAACCATGCAGCAAACGGGACTTTTGACTGGCCGCACACCAGTAAAGGTCCACCTGAACAGGATGAACCTGTACGGCGGAGACCTTAATTGCAGACTCTGCAATAAGGAACCCGCGAGACAGCCAGACACATCCTGGTGAACTGCGAGGCACTGGATCGTAGAAAGCATACCATTTTCGGGCAACCAAACGTAAATCCTGAGACAATAATGAAACACCACCCAGTAAAAGACCTGTACAACCTCGTACAAGGCACACAAAAATACTGTGCAGAAAAATACTAAGTACAATAAGCCTTGTCAGGCTTTAGTGCTGCATGGAGACAATAAGTCGGACAGGCCTGTCTGGAACAAGAGGGAATAAAAAATATATATACCATAAGCCACTGTTCTAAAATATCCTGCATGGAAATCAATTTTTCTTCCCAAGCTTGCATTGCACCTTCGAACGCTTTAACATATGGAGAGCCTCTCATAGTTTGAGCTTTTAAAATGTGATCGTCCATCATTACTTGGATATCGTCTACAGCTGATAAAATATTTACTCCAGTTTCTCTGAAAAAAATTCAATAATTTATAAACTCCAAGGTATTGTAATACTTCTACCTATAAGGAACACATTCGAATTGAATATCAATCCATTCTTCTTTCATCTTCACCAAATTTCTTTCCAATGTGTACTCTTTGGTAGCTGCTCCGCTAACTTCTTCAAGTTGTTGTGAATATTTTGGTAAGCCTGCTTCAATCATGTCATTCAAAGTTGAATCAGAAGTAATCACCAGCTGCACTCCAACTATATCACTTATCTAAAAAAAATTGCCATTAATAAAAATAAAATATGCAAATTCATTATTCGCATACTCTTTCCCAATGTCGTTTTTGAAGCCCTTTATTGCAAACAGTCTGCAAAACAGGCAAAAATTGCCTGAACTTCTCAACTTTAGCCCTAACCATCTCTGCTATACGTTTGGCACCAGGATTGTCGCCAAGGGTTTTGGCTAATTTATACAAAGTTCTCCACATATTTTCTACATACTCCGTAATCTCGTCAGCATCTAACTCAGCAAATGGACCATAATACCAAGCCTCATAGTTTTCGTGAAACTCTAACACAGAGTGCCAAAGTTTATCATAAGGATCTACCATGGTTAGCATTTTAGCTAAATTCAAAAACGGCGATGGATCAATATCTAATAGTTGTTCTTCTTCGTTTATTTGTTCCGCTTCTACTTTATCTTCTTGAAGTCTTGCTACAAGGGATTCAATTTGATGAACGTTTTCTTCCATTTCTTCGACAGTAAGAATAGGAGGGTCTTTTTTCTTGAAAGCAGTGAGCAGTTTTTCGTGGCGCCTAAGTTTGCCATCAAATGTTGCTCTTTTATTTTTGAGAGATTGCTCAGCTTGATCACGCTTCATGTTTAATCGTTGGATTGCCAAGTCGACTACAGCTTCCATATCTTTTGGCCAAAGAAAAACGCGACAATTCAAGTTTAGATCTTCAACTAAAAAAAATTAATAGAATAGTTTTCTAAAAAATCTTACTTACGTTCACTTACAAGTTAGATGAGCATGCTCCATTAAAAAAGAAACATTTTCCGCAGTTTTTCTAATCTGTTCTTTGAGATTGTACATGGTAACATCTCTGCACTCTATGACATAGTTTTGCAATTCTACCAATTCAGCGATGGTTTCAGGAGTGCCACTTACTTTTTGCGACATTTCATCAAAAGTATCGCAAATACTCCTATTGAGTGAGTAATTTTCGTCGATAAAATGATCAACGATTTTACTTCTAAGCCCATCAATGATGTCATATAAAGTCTCGTTAAGTTCGCTGCAATCTAATAAAAACATATTCAGAGGTATCGAGTTTCTCAGCTCTATTATTTCATTTTTTAGTTCTTCGTATCTGTAAATTTTTCTTGAAAAATCTTTTAAAAACGGCATAGGCTGAATGCCAAAAAACTCATTGAGTTCCCTCTCGGCCTGACCGTTTAAAATATAAAAGTACTTTTCGTACATGACTAAATATTTTTCTGGACCAATTGTGTTGGCTTCAAAAGCCTGTTGAATTTCCAGGAAAATTTTCATTACTGGTTCTTCAGATTCGTAAACGGAATGGAGATAAGCTTCTTTGTGTGCAAGCTCTGGAAACATAACATTTTGAATCCTCAAGACGTTTTTATTGACATCCAAAATATTTATAAAATAATGCATAAGCATATCTTTGACATTATCTAATGACGGCTCAATTGTTAAGTTGTTGGTTCCCAAGGTTGGTACTACTTTTATAGTAAGAATTGGTAACTTAATTAGCGCCAAATCGAAGTATTCTTCTCCATAATCATTTCCATTCTGAAATAAAGTTCTAGTTGCAGCTGTTGAATTAATATAAGTATGAAGTTACCTTAAAATTCACTAAAAGCTCTTTTAAGTGCAGCAAACTTTTCATTACCATTGATCTTAATTGCATACTAAGAAGATTATTCACGCAACTAAAAAATCTATCAACCAAATCACAAGATTCTCCAGTTTTCCTGGGAACGTATTGTCTCCAAAGTTTTTTATGTTCCAGAAAAATATCAGCGCATTCCGGCAACCATTGCAGCAGTAAAATGTTCTTTGCAGACTGGCAGGTTTCTTCGACTTTTTCTTTAAGTATTTCTGGTTCAAATGGAAAGTCGTCGCTGAGACTCTCAATAGGTAAGATATACATGTCGTCATAATGCTCGAACCACAACTCTCGAATTTTTATAACAATTTTATTGCCAATAAAATAATGTCGTTCCATGTACTGTTGGCTGATGCAGTATTGAATATGCCAAGGGACTGGAGCTCTGATAACTAGAACTGGAAAAAATTTGGGACAACTTTCCAATCTCAATCGTTTCCATTCAGCCGGATCATGCAGGATATAAAATAGCAAATCGTATCTCATATAAATGCAATACCATTTGAGCACTTCTGATTCATGAGTGGATATCATTGTTTTGAAACATTTAAGGGTTTTGTATTTTTCGGGGATTTTCGACTTGGCTCTGTCCAAGAGGATTTTGTTGTATGGAGGAATGTCTTTTGCTTCAATACCCTGAAATATTAGTTTTTTGATAATTTTTTTATTAAATGATTTTGTTAATGATTTACGTCTGTTAAATAATAAACAATTCTTTCTACATCACTTTTGTTTACCGGTACCATTTCCTTTATCATTTCTTTGAAAAGATAGTTTTTTTGTTCATCGGGGTCTTTTGGTAAAATTGCTTGCATGGCTGCCAATTTTCTATGAAAAATATATTATTTTAAGGAAATGTAAGTATAAATAATAGGTATGTATACCCTCTTTCATCTGGAAAGCCTTCCCACTTCAATATATTCAACTTTTTCCTCATGGCCTTTTCCTTTTCCTTTTTTTCTTTCTTCGCTTTTTGGTCTCGGTGCCATTGTCCCGATAATAAATATTCAGCACTTATAATTCCTGGCACATAAAGATCTTTCTTTTTCTGTTCAATACGTTCTTGCTTCAATCTCTCTTCCTGTTGTTCTTTGCGGGACTTTTTGGGCGGATACTGTAATCTACCATCAGCCCCCAAAGGACTGGGTTTTTCGACTTTTCGCTTCTTCGACAAATCTTGAATCTTCAAGTGCTGAGCTTGTGGAGTGAACGCGGATCCTATGGTTTCGGAGGGTCGGAAATACATTTGCGTGTCCCTTTCTGGTACACCTTGAGTCCATGATTTTTTCGCAAACAACGGTGGATATTCGACTGAGGCTAGTATATCAGTAATTTTGACTGGACTACGGGCGTGTTCATCTCCTACGGGCATCCAGGGCGGTTTTGGTATTATTCTTGAACCATATTTTGAGAATTCGGGCTTATCAACCATTTTTTTCGTGTAAATTTTCGTTCATACAAACGTCAGTGTTTGTTTAGCTGAGATTAATTGACAAAACATTCACTTTTTCAAGTTGTTGTTTGGTAGCTATGACGATCGTCCAGTTATTTTAGGGCTGATTTCCACCCTTGTCTAGAAAAGGTAGCAGAATTTACAGAGGAAAATAATCAACGTTTTCTGTGATATTTGAATTTGAACTTGAAATCAAATGAACATTATTAAATACATATTGCGCACGAGATCGCGCATGACCATTGTCAAAAGATACTTCATCTAATAAACCTCTTTCTGGTCTGGCTTGCACCGAGCAACATGTTTTTATTTTCGCTCCCTCACATCGATAATTTTAAGAAATAAAATTGAAGTCAAATATCTTTATTAAGTAAAAGTAGCAAACAAAACAGTGAAAATACGATATGGTGTCAGAATTCTCGAAAACACGCATCTAAATTAAGTAAATTCGGCAAAATCGCGATAAGTTAAAGCAAGCTGAAAAGAAAAAAGAAGCATCATCATCATGGCGTCAGGCAAAGAACACGCAATCCCGCCAGGTGAGCTGAGTTTCAATGGGCACATGGCTGAAAATTGGGCATTCTTCAAACAAAAATTCGAAATATATCTAAAAGCTAGCAAACAAAATGGGGAAACAGAAGAAGAAAAAGGTTTTATCTTACTAAATCGAATTGGAGATAAAGCCCTAAAGATTTACAACAACCTTCAATGGAAGCAAGGAAAAAATAAAACCCATTGCAAAGATATAATTGAGGCATTTTCTGAATATTTCACTCCTACGAAGAACATAACCTACGAAAGATATATTTTCAACACAAGAAACAAGAAAGAAGAAGAAAGCTACGACGACTATGTCACAGAGCTGAGACAGTTAGCTAGCAGCTGTGAATTTAGTACCCTGGAAGAAAGCCTGATTCGAGACCGTCTGATTTTGGGGATTTCAGACATGGCCATGAAGGACAAACTGCTTCGGGAGAATAACCTCACTCTTGCAAGGGCACTGGAAACTTGCAGGACTGCAGAAGCAACCGCGAAAAGAATGGAAATCATGGGAGAATCATCCAAAGGTCAATCAGAGGTCAGCATGGTAAAAATGGGCAAAAAAGGCGGCAAATTCAAGTTTCAAAATGGTCCCTCAACGTCAAACAAGGAGCATGCGCATTGGTCGCAGAAACGTCAAGAACATCAGGGATTTCAACGTCAACATGGCGGCCATAGAAATAAGATAAGTAAACATCCTAACTCTTCAAATTTCTCGCAAAATTTTAAACAAAATTTTATTAATAATTGTTACAAATGTGGTACATCGCACAAGCTAAATGCCTGCCCAGCCTTTGGTAAACAGTGCGAAAAATGTAGCAAATTTAATCATTTTTCTCGAATGTGCAATCGAAAAAAATTTGTAAACAATGTAGAACAGCAAAATTCTTCCAGTTCTAGCGATGTTTCAGACGATGAACTCAGCATTTTCACCATAAAAAACAACTCTGTAAGTAATAATAAACAAAATTGGATACAAAACTTATACATAAATAATAAAATTAAGGTACCATTTAGATTAGACACTGGCGCGGATATTTCTATTTTACCTTTGCATTATTTTAAACAATTAAGCATTCCTGTGGAAAACCTAGAAAAACCAGACGTTAATTTAGTTGGTTATAGCGAGGGAAAAATTATTTCAATGGGAACTATTTATTTGAAAATAAAGCAGTGCAATGTTAAATGCAAAAGCGTGAAAATTAAATTTAATATTGTAAATACAAATAAGCCACCAATACTGGATGGAAATTCCTGTGTATTGTTAAAATTGATAGAAAGAGTACCTGAAAATTGTGTAAATAATGTGAGCGTAAACAAAAGCTGTGATAAATTAATTAATAATTATAATGATATTTTTCAGGGAATAGGATGCTTGCCAGGCACATACAATATTGAGCTAGATGAGAATAAACCTCCAAGGATTCACCCTCAGAGAAAAGTGCCATATGCTCTTCACGAACGCCTTAAGGAGAAATTGAAGCAGCTAGAACAAGCCAAGATCATAGAAAAAGTGGACGAACCGACAGAATGGGTAAACAGTTTAGTCATAGTTAAAAAACAAAATAACGACTTGAGACTCTGTATTGATAGTAAAGATCTAAACAATGCAATTAAGAGAGAACATTACTATTTACCAAATTTAGATGACATAATTAGCAAAGTCAGAGGTTCCAAAATTTTTTCTGTATTGGATTGTAGCAATGGTTTTTGGCAAGTTAAATTAAATAAAAAAAGTAGCAGGCTAACAACATTTAATACTCCTTGGGGTAGATATTGTTTTGCTAGGATGCCATATGGCATAAACTCAGCATCTGAAGTATTTATGAAACGTTTAAGGCAACTTTTTGAAAGAATAGAGGGGTTAGAATTATATATAGATGATTTATTAATTTTTTCCGAGTCCTTGGAGGAACATCTTAGCATTTTAGAGAAAGTTTTTAAAACAGCCAGAAAGTTCAATGTACGTTTTAATGTAAATAAATGTAAATTTTGTGTTAGTAGTGTTAAATACATGGGATTCAATTTATCAGAAAAAGGTCTAGAAATCGATCAAAATAAAGTTGAAGCTGTCAAAAATCTGTCAAAACCTAAATGTCCAAAAGATATAGAGCGTTTACTTGGAATTTTAAATTATTTAAATAGATTTGTGCCAAACTTTTCCGAATTAACAGAACCACTCAGAATGTTAATCAGAAAGAATGTCAAATTTGAATGGGGTGAGAGTCAAGAAGAATCCTTTGAAAAAATAAAAAATCTACTCATGAATGCTCCTATTTTACAATTTTATTCTAGGAAACTGCCTATAGTAATGTCTTGCGATTCCTCTCAAAATGGTTGTGGTTCGGTACTGTTACAAAATGATGCACCGGTTTCTTATGCATCAAAAGCATTCACTCCCACTCAGCAGCGATATGCTCAAATAGAAAAAGAGTTGCTGTCAATTTGTCATGCGTGCACAAAGTTTCACAATTATATTTTTGGTCGTTCCGATGTAACCATCGAAACAGATCATAAACCGTTAGTAAACATTATAAAGAAACCAATTATAAGTGCACCAGCACGTTTGCAACGTATGTTATTGATGTTACAACCTTACTCTTTTAAATTAATATATAAACCAGGAAAACAGCTATTTTTAGCTGACGCGCTGAGTAGGGCATTTCAAAATGATGTGGATGAAATTTTTGAAAGGAAATGCTTAGAATTTGATAATCATTTATTATTTGTCACTGAAAACTTGCCGATCAGTCAAGAAAAATTTGAAAACTTGAGAAGGGAAACCTTAAAAGATAGTCATCTTCAAGGGCTAATTAAATTAATTACAGAAGGTTTTCCTAGTAATAAAAAAAAGTTAGGTGAAGAATATAAAATTTATTGGCCTCACAAAGACGAGCTTACTTATTCAAAAAACTTGATTTTTAAAAATAATAGAATTTTCATTCCAAAATCACTTAGAAGAGAAATGTTGTCTAGGTTGCATGTGGGACATTTAGGTATTACGAAAACCAAATTAAATGCAAAACAGTTGATATTTTGGCCTACAATTAACTCAGATATTGAAAATCTAGTCGAATCCTGTGATATTTGTCTGTCTAATAGCAAGTTTAACCAAAAAGAACCAATGTTACCTCACAAAGTACCATCTGGACCGTGGAAAGAGGTTGCTACCGATATTTTTTATTTTAATAATGAAAGTTTCTTGATTACGGTGGATTATTTTTCGAAATTTGTGGATGTACAAAAACTCCCAAATGACAAAAGTGTGAGTGTCATAAAATCACTCAAAAAACTATTTTCAGTTCATGGAATTCCAGAGTCTTTAATTTCAGATAATGGTACATGTTTTAGATCATCAGAATTTCAGAATTTCGTTAAAACTTGGCAATTTAAACATATTACAACTAGCGCACATAATCCACAAAGCAATGGTCAAATTGAAAGATTTGTGCAAACTGTCAAAAACACCATGAAAAAATGTGCTGAATCACGTTCTGATTTTCATTTAGCACTTTTGGATTTGAGAAATACTCCAATAGGACCAAATTTACCGAGTCCTGCTCAATTAATTTTCGGTAGAAGGCTAAAAACCACGATTCCTGTCATGGATAATTTGCTAAAACCCAAAATACAGCCTATTCCCACAGTTCGAAACAAATTAATTGAAAGGCAAAATAAACAAAAAAATTATTATGATAAGCACAGTAAAGAATTAAATGAGATTAAGCCGGGTACATTGGTTAAAGTACAAAACTTTAAATTAAAAGCTAAAGAAAAATGGCTCAATGGTACAGTAATAGGGAAAAATAATTGTCCTAGATCATATAATGTGAAACTAGAAAAAACAGGGAATATTGTATCTAGAAACAGAAAGCATTTAAAAATAATTAAATCTCAATTTCAATTTGAAAAAAAAAAAGGGGAAATATTAGGAGAAAACTTAGATAACTTACCAAAAAATAATTTAGACTTGTCTAATAAAAATAGCTATAATTCAGAAAGCTATGATAGATTTAAATATGATGGTATTTCTAGTGATAATTTGAACGATACGTTGAATCTAAGTATGCCAGGTACTAGTCAACATACTACTCCTGAGAGTGTCTCAATGTCCTCTTCTTTTCATGGGTTTCATTCATTCAGCAATTCGAGTGAATCACTTTCAAGTAATTCCTTGTCATCTCCGGAATCACCTGTAAGAGAGATGCCGAGACATTCTCCAGTGAGAAATACAAGATCAGGGAGATTGGTTAAACCACCAGTTAGGTTAAGCTTGTGATATTAGTTTGTATTTTTTTTTAAGTTAAGTTTCAATTGTTAGTGTATAAATTTAATCTTAGTGTCTTTAGTGTTAAGTGTTAGTATATTTATAAAAAATAAAAAAAAAAATTAAAGTATTTATCTAGAGACTGCTAGGTCTTAAGTTTGTATATATAGAAAGAACTGAGTGCCAGTCAGAAATTGTAACATCTTTTATGTAATTGAACACATCTGTGATAGCAACTTTAAATGATATTGTGAAAAGACTGATATTTTGAAAAGACTGATATTTTGTGTAGTGCTATTATTCTATTTTCAAAAAAGGGAGGATGTGATATTTGAATTTGAACTTGAAATCAAATGAACATTATTAAATACATATTGCGCACGAGATCGCGCATGACCATTGTCAAAAGATACTTCATCTAATAAACCTCTTTCTGGTCTGGCTTGCACCGAGCAACATGTTTTTATTTTCGCTCCCTCACATCGATAATTTTAAGAAATAAAATTGAAGTCAAATATCTTTATTAAGTAAAAGTAGCAAACAAAACAGTGAAAATACGATATTTTCATTAACGCATTTGCAGCAGTTCTAAAATCAGGACATTTTTGCATTTTTCCATATATGTACAAAATTATAAACTGGATAGAGGAAGTTGCGGGTAGGTAGGTAGTAGGTACATCAAGTTTCACTTATCAAAAAATTTGCCCTTACACATTTCCAATGCATTTTGTCAAAGAATCTTTTAATTTCATATACAGTGTGTAATCACTACGTCAGTTGCAAGATAATTTAATCCCAACTTATTAAATCTCCTAGCAATCCAGCATCTAATTCCGTATAAAAATAGTATAAATAAAAAATGACGAAATTTCTAAGCTCAACTCAAATTACATAACAATTTTTTTTTCCAACACAAGCGATAAGCGACCGGATATCAGAGTTCGATGTCCCTAGTTAATAGAGTCTTGCGACAATCGGATTAAAAAGAAAGTCAATAAAAAATTATAAAATTAGGACGCTTTTAACCAGAATTCACTATACTCATGTGATTTAATTGCGTCATAACTGATAAACTACAACACCGGTGTGTCCTCCGGATGTTGCATCATGTCCTAAATAAAAACTTACGAAAAAAAAAAAAAACAATTCTTGGAAAACAACAATGTTGTTTATCACTCGATAAACGAGGTCAAATAAGAGGATTGGTTCGAGAAATGCTAAATGACCGCCCACGTAACAGATTTTTGGTGGGAATTGAGTACTATTTAAGCAGGTTACAATCCGAAAAAAGGAGATAACATCCAGCAGTTGATTTAATAATAATAAGATCGACTTAATCTCAAAAACAGGAAATCGTTAAAAGTAAACAACAAATACGTCTTGAAATACGTGTCTGGAATTGGAAATAATATTTATAACACCTTGATAAAACTAAATATTATGTCAATTGACATAGGAAATCTTATTGAAACCGTTCGCAGTTTCCCATACACGTCAACAATGTCGTTATTAAAGACTAATGAAAACTCTTAATTTTTGGTGCATGAAATACCTTAAATTTTACGGAAAAAGAAAAGCTTATGCATAAGGGAAAAGTTAAAGAAACGGAAACAGAATATATGCATGAACCAGCCTTAAAAATAGTATAAATAAAAAATGACGAAATTTCTAAGCTCAACTCAAATTACATAACAATTTTTTTTCCAACACAAGCGATATGCGACCGGATGTCAGAGTTCGATGTTCCCAATTAATAGACTCTTGCGACAATCAGATTTACACCGGTGTTTCCGCCAGATGTTGAGTCATATCCTAAATAAAAACTTACGAAAAAAAAAAATTCTTGGAAAACAACAATGTCGTTTATCACTCGATAAACGAGGTCAAATAAGAGGATTGGTTCGAGAAATGCTAAATGACCGCCCATATATAACAGTTTTTTGGTGGGAATTGAGTACTATTTAAGCAGTTTACAATCAGAAAAAAGGAGATAACATCCAGCAGTTGATTTAATAGTAAGATTTAAAGACTTAAGAGAATTGGCAGTGAGTGAGTCTCCACCAAAAAGTTTTTTTTATCTTTGTTTTGCCTCGGGCAAAAAGCTAAAAAGTTTGCGATTGATTATTGTCCAGTAAGTCATAAAGTAGTATCAGGTTTTCCTTTGTTTGTGCGTGCTAAGTACCTGAAAGTAATTTTGATCGTTTGTGTATCTAAGGACAGATTGTAAGTACATGTAGAAATTTGAGACTTTAGTATTTATCTATTAGTGAATTGATTTTAAAAGAACTGTCTATTTTGTATGGTTCTCCACTCACACTGTCCTGGGAAAATACCTTCCTGGACCTGATGGAGATGGATACTTTTTTTTTCTTCACATTTTTGAATAAAGAGGCATACAGCAATAAGAGAATCAACTATTATCCCCAAAACTATTTAAAAGTAAAATTTACAGCTTTAGGCATAGTAAAAATAAGTTATATTTGTTATTTAATTTCAATATACATTTTGTAATAAATAAACATTTTGGCAATTTGAGTAATATTTAAACAAATACCTAACTAATCAAGTATATTTTTTATGTCTAGAATACTGCTTCGTAATAGGATCTATGTCAGAAGAGATTTTGGATGTGGAAGGAACTTCAAACGGTTCTGCAATATAGAGTAAAAGTTATCTTCTATTTTCAAATAAATTAGGTTTTTTTTTTTACCTGCAGTCTCATCATTATTCACATCACCAGGTTCATAAAATTCTGGATTACCAGCTCTATCATGGAATCTGTATTGCCATTCTAAATAAATAAATAAAAATAGTTTCAAAAATGTTTCACCAACAATCACTTACGCCCTTTAGTGACTCTAGATATCAAAGCATAATAGTATTCCTTATCTTTAGCTGACCAAATTAGCATGTTTCTACACTGCTCTACGATTTCTTTTTGCGCACAAGCTTGCGCTTTGGAATAATAAACTTTGGCCGATAAAAATATTAAAATCAATGCGATTACTCCAGGTTTGGTAGCATACAAAACCACCCACCACACAGAGCTGTTTGTTTTTAATCTGAAAACTCCTTCAGTAACTAGCTCGTAAATATAATCGTAATTTCGAAAAGGTCCGCAGTCTTTAGAAACAGGAATACTGAAATATAATATTTTCACAACAACAATTTATTAATATAATCATTACTTACTAAGAAACTATATATCCCAACAATCCTCCAATTAGAATCATACTTAGAAAGGTCATGGCTAAAAACCATGTGGATGTTTGCGCAGCCCTCCAGGTTTTTGAGGAGGGCTTGCATAAAACCATCACTATACCAAATCGAATATACCAACATAGGAATAATTTAATAACAACCACCACAGGGAGTAATGGGGAGAAAACTAAACCCACCCAAAACAGGGTTTGGTTGTAAATAATTTGCATAGTATTCCAAGCAATATCAAATTCCAAATAAACATCTTTTCGCAAATATCTACAATATCTAGTATAGTAAGTAATTCAAATTATTAATAAAACCTCACTTGTAGAAAAAATACATAACAATATCCAATAGAGCAGTTAATAAAATTGATATAATAAAGTCCCAAACAATCATTCTATAAAATTCTTGAGCCAAAGAGGTTTCCCAACATGAAGTACTCTACAAATTAACCATAAAATAAATTTCCAGCAAATTTCTATATTTTCTGGACCTACACTACTGCTGGTCAGCCAATAACCAGCCAGCACTCCAACACAGACTGCTCCCAACAAAAACGTCCTAGCCAAAGTCACATACAATGCAGTTTTTGGACTTTTATAATCTTCATATTTGACCAAAAAACTCAAAAACATGGGCATCAAAGCCATTACACTATTAATAAATAATGGCGCAACTATAATTTTGTAACTTCTTTCGGTTGGCACATTGTTCAGGAAATACCATATGGCATAGGCCATACCAGAAATCATAAAGAGTATGACTAGATTCATGAAAAATTGAATTGTGCGCGTTAGGAATTTCTGGTGGAATGTTTCATTGTGTTTGCTTTGTGTGAAGTCCCATATCAGCTCCTAATAAAGAGGTAGGTACTTTTGATGATGATTATTATTGTTTAAAAATTCTTTTTACCCTCAACTCATTAAAAATTGCTTTTCTTTTTAGTTCAGCAGCATCTTTGGTAGCAATATTATAATCCCATCCACAAAATATTTTATTGGCAAATACGTTCTTTAATCCACCTTCTGTTTCTATGAAACTTCTTCTATAAGATTTTGCAGCACTAAAATAATTAGTAAGTAATTTTATTATAAGTACAGGGTGTTTTTTTACATATTGACACCCCACCTACAGCCTCTACCTTAACAGGTAGAAGAAAGGTGTAAATACAGTTTTTGCTGAATTTTTAGAAACCCTGGTCAGAAACAAAATTTGAATGTCAGAAATGTGAAATTTTGCATAAAGTCTGTTTTTTTTTAAAGATAATTCCCCAAGTCAAAAATTTAGCAACTATGTTGGCAACACAAGCCTTTTCTACATAAAAAAATTGAAAGCTTCGACAATTTTACATTGTATTGCCAACACAATGTCATTTTGACTTTTATCTTAAAAAAAAAAACAGATTTTACTTCCAGCTTTTTTCAAATGGGATGCCCTATATTTCATTCTATATTCTTGAAGAGCACAATGCCTCGATTCCAAAACCATATAGTTTGTCTATATTTGAATGAACACTCTCTCATATATTCGGCTCCAAAAATTGTAAAAATACTATCCTACTACTGATTTTGTGAACCATTCTACCTGTTTGAGGTACTTTGGTTTCTCTGATAGTATTTTTAAAATTTTTACAACCAAATATGTTGGAGACGGCTCAACCAAATATAGACAAACTTTATAGTTTTGGAATCTGGAAATTGTGCTCTTCAAGAATATAGAACCAAATATAGGGCATCCCATTTGAAAAAAAGCTGAAAGCATGCAACATTTCACATTTCTGACATTCAATTTTTGTTTCTGACCATGGATTCTAAAAATTTAGCCAATACTATACAACTTTTGTATTTACACCTTTCATCTACTTGTAAAGGTGAAGGCTGTAGGTGGGGTGTCAATATAAAAAAAAACACCCTGTACTTGAACAATAACCTATTATATCAAGTCAGAATTTGTGAGATTATCCGCTTTTTGTCAATATGCCTTTTAACAGGAATTAGTAATGTTACTTTACCAAACTCGTAACATGATGAGAAAAGTTATTCAAGTACAAACGAGTGGATTGTTGCGGAACTTATGGGTGGACCTCTGCGGGACGAGCGCAGCGAGTTCCGCAGCCATCTATTCATCAATATGTTGTTAAATTACGATACTAACCTGACTCACTCAAATGTGAGTTATTCTCATTAATTTAAAAACTACACGTTTCAGGTGAATGTCTTACTTGAACAGTTCAACAGTATATTGGTAAGTAGATGGCTGCGGAACTCGCTGCGCTCGTCCCGCAGAGGTCCACCCATAAATCCCGCAATCATTCACTTATTTGTACATACATTCCTGTAGATGAATTTTGCAAAAAAAAAAAAAAAAAATTCTAAATTTCTACCTAATACCAACAACAGCAAAACAAGCAAAATAAATGAACAACATGGTGAAAAAATATGCATATGGCATGCTATATGATAGGACACTATTGTCACTAACATTTTCATCAGTGTAGAATCCATAATACAGTAAAGTGTTTGTGAGGTAGCCCTAAAAAAACACAAAAAAAAAACTTGACTAGTTTCTACAAAACACACAAGCCTTACTTCTCCAGACAACAGATCTTCCATACCCCATGCGGGTGCATCTTGAATTATGGTTTTTGGCACTAGTGTTCTTGGTATTGTAATAAAACCTATAGAAAAAATCGCTATGACCAAATTAATTAAAAACAGAGATCTCAGGAATTTAAAAAAAGAGGCAACTCCAGTGCCGAAATTTCCTTCGATTTTTTTTAGGGGTCCATACCAAAGCTCAAACGAATAAGCTAAATCTCTAATGTTAATTTTGAGCTAAAAATACAAAATAATAATTAACCAAACAAACTATACAATATCAAATCTTTACTTTTGTCCAACTCATGCTTAAACGATATTTGAACATCTTCCAATAACTAAGATGTTTCCTTTTAGATTTCTGACTAACAGATTTAGAAAGTTTCACTTTCACGCATCTTTTAATTGTAAGACATTGAGGCATGTCTCTTAAGGCAGTTCTTCTTAATTCCTCAGCATCAGGAGAATCTTCCATAAGGGCCTCATCTTGCTCCATTTTCGATACAATAATATTAGCATGTTTTTCCAATAATAAACCTTTTTGATTATTTTTTCCCAAATTTCTCCTTGTTGTGCCTCCTGTTCTTGCATCAAAAGCCTTTTTTAGATTGCCTCTATTGCTCAACTGGCTCAATCTATGTATAGAATGATGGTATCCAGAAGGGTAATCATTGTCTAAACTTTCCTGATCAGCATCTCCACTGTGTTGGCTGATATTATCCTGATGGTAGTTGCTCGGGTACAAATTATGCAATGAAGAATAAGATGTTGAATCAGAATTGCTATCTGCCATAATTTGTCGTGATTGAAATGCACCTTTTAAACCACCCTTAATCCTTTCATGAGGCGGGCTGTTGGTATTTGTTTCAAATGGATTATTGGTAGTTCTAGATTCAAAGGCAGCCTTCAAACCACCATTTTTAGGAAATGGTGGAGGGTGGGTTTCAAATGGATTATTGGTTGATTTAGGTTGATTCTTTAAGTTGTTTGGTTGTTTTGGATGACTGTCGTTGAAGGTGTTAGGCCGAAGTGAGGGTCTTTGGAATCTGAAGAGAAATAATTTGATACTTACTTTGCTTTTTAATTTTAAAAATTTGATATTAGCCTGTGGAAAAAAAGTGCTAACTTAATAGAAAGGGATTAGTGGCAGGGTTGGCAAAAATCCTTGCAAGTATTATACTGGATAGAAAATTGGATTTTTGGTGGATAGCACTAGTGACAAGTTAGAACATTTTCAAGCATTTTGAGATGCTTTAAAGCAATTAAGAACTTTGATGAGCTTCAGAAGACTTTTAATTCAATTAATCCCCCTGCATTTGATTGAGACAAATTGGAACCTTTAAGAACATTGTTAAACGTTACAGAACACTTTAAAACCAATTTGGAATTTGTGAGATATTCTAGTCTGATCTCCAACAAACGTGACAAACATATTGACAACCTCATACTAGACGATTTCGAAATTACATGGACAAATTAAATTAAATATCTAGGACTATTACTGGACAGTAAACTTTCTTGGACCCCCCACATATCATAAAGTGAATAATGCAATAGATTAGTGGGATTGCTTTATCCATGACTTAACAAGGACAGTAAACTAACTCTAAAAAACAAACTATTTGGTACTATACAAACAAGTTATCCGACCTACATTACTTTACGGTGCAATAGTTTTTTCACAGACAACACGTCAAAATAAGGTAATCCGTAGGATGGTCGGCGCTCCGTGGTATGTCCGCAATGCGGACCTACATACAGACCTGAGCGTTGATACAATCCACGAGTACCTTGTTGAGAAACAAACGCGGTTTCTTGACAAAGTAACTAACCATACAAATGACATAATTAAATCTTTATTTGACGATAACTATACTATTAACCCTGACAGAACTATGTTCAGAAATTTAAGAGCTCCACCTCTTTCCTAGTGAATGAAATCCCCTTCTTTCCTATCCTTTCCCCACTCCCCTCCCTTTCCCTGAACAAAAATTAACTGAAAAGACAACACATGGCAGTAAGTAGACTCACCCAAAATTGCGTAAGAGTGCTGTCGCACTAATGCAGTGTTAAACTCAAAAGAAGACGAAACCTGTTTATAAGTGTACTGGTTAATAACAAATTGTGCGAAACGCGCTGTTGTTTTTCTAAATTCAATATAGAAGGACTAGTAGGCATTACGCGGACGGGTTAGTTTGGGTTAGTTTGCATATTTTTGGTTAGTTTCATTATAGTTCGTTTAATACTGGTTGTAAGTAAAGGGGTTTGTGTTTTTCTAAATTCAATATTAACATTCAAGGACTAGTACACATCACATGGATGGGTTAGTTTGCATATTTTTGGTTTACAGTTCGTTTATTACTGGTTATGAGTGTACTGGTTGATAACAAAACGCGCGAAGCGCGCTTGTTTTTCTAAATTTAATATTAACATACAAGAACTAGTACGCATTACGTGGACGGGTTAGTTTGCATATTTTTGGTTAGTTTCATTGCAGTTCATTTAATACTGTTTATAAGTCTACTGGTCTAAATTCAATATTAACATACAACGACTAGCAGGTATTACGTAGATGGGTTAGTTTCGGTTAGTTTGAACATTTTTGGTTAGTTTCGTTATAGTTCGTTTATTACTGGTCATGAGTGTGGTTGACAACAAAGCGCGCTGATAGCGACCGATAGTAGGGAATTTTCGTAGTTGATTTTCGAAGGGTGGACCCCATCGTCAATTTTAAATATAATTTTCTGATGGAAAATGTGCATTTTCTGCATTTATTTTTATCAAAGGTCGAGGAGAGGCATTTTTTGAATGGCTTCGAAAATAGAAACTATGTATTTCCGCGAAAAAATTTTTCCTTTTTTACATTCAGAAAAATTTTCACAATGCAAAGGAATATCAATTTTTCACATAATTTATTTCAACTATTCTAAAGTCTCATAAATTCTTCCGGAAACAGCTTATTTCCGCAGCAAAATTTTTGTTTGTATGTTCAGAAAAATGTTGAAAATGCAAACAAACAAAAATTTTTCACATAACTGATTTCAGTTATTCTAAAGTCCGGAAAATGGAAATGAAGCATTTCCGCAGAAAAAATTTTTTTACCTGATAGTTGATTTCTGCTAAACGAAAGTTGACCCAAAATTTCGACGAACATATTGGAACTGAGAGAGTCTAAAACACTTCTGAACTTGTTTAGAATTTCAATTAGAACTACCAAAAAGTGCTTGAAAATATTTGTGAGATTTCTGATAACTTCTAGAACATTCCGGCGCTTCAAGAGTATTCAGCAACCAATTGAAAACCTCGTTGAAAACTTTAGAAAGCATTTTGAAAATCTTCAGAATGCGCTTGTGCCAATATGGAACCTTTTTGAGTATTTTGAGACGCTCTAGAGCACTTTAGAACAAATATAGAACTTTGACAAGGTTTAGAAGACTATCAATTCAATTTTTAATCCTCCTGCACTTCTTTGAGACAAATTGGAACTTTCAGGAACATTGTAAAACGCTACAGAACACTTTAGAATCAAATTAGAATTTCAGAAAAGTTCTAGAACGGACTAGAACACTTCTGAACATTTTAGGAACATTTAGGAAAGCTAGACCTAGAGATACTTCAGAAGTTTAGGTTTAGATCCAAGTTGAAATTGCAGGAGTATTTTAGAACACTCTAGAATACTCTACGAATCATGCAGAACATAATTTGTAAACAATCTAAAACTGGAAACTTTTAGAATTTCTGAATTCTGGTGATAGGATTTATCTGTAAATTTTTGTGTTAATTTAAATGGAAATACCCATCCAAAAATCAAAGCAGAGAAAATTGTTTGCCAACCCCGAGGCCAACCCTGATTAGTGCAGAAAATTATAGTTATTTAAGATTGTAATTTTGAAGCTAAATTAGGGTGAGCATAGGCAGTTTATTGAAATTTTTAATAGATAAAATTACATACCCAGGCATTATTTTGTATGATTCAGATTCACATTACACAGAGAATTGAACAATGATTAATGATTTGATTAAAATAGAAATTATTTTATTATTATTGTTAGAGAGGGAGATTATATTTATCTTACATACGTACCTGACAATAAATTGCAATTATTTATGCTGTTATCTGATAAAGGGGAATTTTCATAATTTGAGGAAAGGAATTAATTAATTTTGTATTTTTTGGATGATTGTTTTTCTTTTGGTATTTGAATTTTTTTGTGAGGTTATGAGGTTATATTTACTGTCATTTAAATAAAAAATCACGTGACCGAAAACGCCCTCTCATTGGCTGTTGTTGTCATTTAAGTAATTCCGCCAGAGGGCGTCTCTGTATTTTTTGAATCACTGGCTCACTGGACTGTATTTTTGAGAGTAGGCACATTTATATTTGAAATTAGCAAGAAGTGACTCAATATGGCGACGAGGACGTGGAGTACCTAGTAATTCCAAGGATATTAAAAACTACTACAGAATTGCTCATCGGCCTCGATTTTTGGAATCTAGGTAACATGGGTAACATGGCGTGTTGCACCGTTGACGACGTCATCGACGATGTCGTTAGCAGTTTGCGCCAGCGGTTGTAGTTTAGAGAATAGTACATTTATGATGAAAAATTTTGAGAAAATTGAAATATTTTTAGCTGATCGACTTAGGTCTGAATGCATAGTTGTTGGGGACTTTAACATTCCTAGCTATGTTAATCAGCTTTCGTGTAACAATAATCTAAATGTTTTAAAGGGATTTTTAGCATTTAATGACTTAAGGCAGCTAAATCAAGTTAAAAATCTAAATGATGTAATTTTGGACCTTGTGATTGCATCATTTGATAATGTTCGTGTTGCCAGGTCCGACGATTGTGTATTGCCTGTAGATAGTCATCATCCCTGCTTGTGTGTTACCGTTAATACTAAAACGCCAATTCAATATTGCAAAGTTGTGTCCACTACAAAGTTTAATTTTAGAAAGGCAAATTTTTTGCTAATGTATGATCTTATTACAAATCAAAACTGGGCTATTATAGATGAAATTTCTGATGTAAATGTGGCAATGGATCTTTTTTACTCTATTCTCAATGACATTTTTGTAAAGTGTGTGCCAAAATCGACACAAATCGACAAGAAATATCCAGTCTGGTTCAACAACGAAATAATTAAATTAATTAAACTTAAGCATAGCTATTTGTTAAGGTCCAAGCGTTATAAATCTCAGTACTGGAAATCCAAATATATTGCTCTGCGCAGCACCATCAAACAAAAAATTAGGCTAAATCACACTGAATACCTTTATAATGTTGAAAGGAGCTTGAAGTCAAATCCAAAGTTTTTCTGGTCTTATGTTAAAAGTCTGAAAGACAACCATGACATCCTTGAAGAAATGGTTTTTGAGAACCAAACTTATTCTGGCACGCAAAATATAACTGAAGGTTTTGCTAAATTTTTTAAATCAGTTTATATCAATGATCCTGATGTAACATGCAATTCTACAAACTCCATGTCATTTTTCTGTCAGAAGGAGATATCTATTGAAATGATTAAAGTGGCTCTAAAAAAAGTTAAACCTAATAAGGCGATTGGTCCAGATGGAATACCAGCATATATTTTAAAAGGTTGCAGCAATCATTTTTTAAAACCACTTCATGCGTTGTTTAATTTAATTTTGAGAACATCAACCTACCCAGATAAATGGAAAATCAGTAAGGTTATTCCAATCTTCAAGAATGGATCCAGAGAGGAAATCAAAAACTATCGGCCTATTAGTATCGTATGTGCAGTTTCCAAAATTTTTGAAGTAATAATTTATGATATGCTATTTAATGAAGTTTCTAACAGGATTACATCATGCCAGCATGGCTTCCTTCCTGAAAAATCAACTATGACTAATCTTATCACATTATGTCAATATGTTCATGAGGCACTCAACAGCAAGTCGCAAGTGGATGTGATTTTTATGGACATGGAAAAGGCATTTGATAGAGTAAGACATTGCATAATACTAAGGGCCTTAAATGACTTGGACGTACCTGCATATCTGGTAAACCTAATCCAATCATATTTGAATCAAAGACATCAGTATGTGGAAGTGAAGGGCTGCAAATCAGCTGTGTATAAAAGCACTTCAGGGGTACCACAGGGCTCCAATCTGGGTCCTCTTCTTTTTCTAATAGCCATCAACAGTATTATAAATAAATTGGAAAATGCCAAGGGTCTACTCTTTGCGGATGATTTTAAGTGTTTTTTCCGGGTTAGTTCAATTTCAGACTGCGAAATGCTTCAGAATGATTTCTGTAATGTCGCCAACTGGTGCATTGGCAACCAATTTAAGTTGAATGTCAGTAAATGTTCATGTATGTCCTTTACCCTTAATAACAATGCTGTACAGTTTGAGTATACACTGAATGACGTTGCGCTTAATAGAGTCAACATTCAGAAGGACTTGGGTATAATTTTTGATTCGGCTCTATCTTTCTCTAAACATATTGTCAGTAAAGTTGAAAGTGCCCAAAAGATGGCTGGTTTCATTGCTCGGAACTCTAAAGACTTTTCAGTGGATGTGAGCTTACACCTCTTTGATAGCCTTGTGGCGCCCATATTGGAGTATGGAAGCATAATATGGTCCCCACAATATAATGTATGGTTAACAGTGCTTGAGAGTGTGCAGAGAAAGTTTTTAAAAAGTACCTATGTATTTCAGAAAGCACGGTGTCTATCCACCGATTGGATATGACAACTCTCAACTCTTGAGAGAATTTAATAGATTAAGTTTGGAACATAGACGAATTAAAATAGTGCTTTGCATGATGTTTAAGTTATTGAAAGGAAATATAGATAGTCCTGATATTCTGAGCCAGTTGCCTTTTGCTATTCATCGTATTAACGCGCGTAATTCGAGAGTATTTTACCTGGCGTATCCGAGAGTTAATCTTTATAAAAACTCCCCTATCTACAGAATGTGCAATGTTTTCAACTTGTACGCTTGTGACATTGACATTGATGTCATTTGTTACAATCAGTTTAAACAACTTATTCTGTCCAAACTAAAAGAAGAATAGTATTTAGGTGTTTAATTGTATTATTTGTATGTTTATTGTTAGGATTAGGTATATTTAACATTTTAATATTATAGCATGACACATACTATTACTTAACTATTATTATTGGATAAGTGGATATCTGTAATTGGCTTAAGCTGTTGATATCTTTGAATAAATAAATAAATAAATAAATAAATAATATTTAATTTTGATCCACATAATACGCGAAGAGGAAGATTCAAACGAGATCCAAAAAAGGGTTGTTTTAGATAGAATATGTTAATCAATAGACTAAAACTAAGTGGCAAGTATGCATAAACCAAAAGTTGGCGGAATCAACCTGTGGTGCAAAAACCCTACAACAAGACAAGGCGAGAAACTACACGCTGTTACGTCATCACTGGTACTATGGCGTAGTGTGGGGTTTGAGATTACACAGGCACAGGCCTCATGAGGATAGGCTATCCTGTGAACCTGAACTGTATAATATCCTTGGAGTACTTCTAGATTCCTATTTAAAATAAGCAAGAATATGGCGCAATGGCGGCGTGATCTCTAGTCGCCTCGCCTGTGTGAAATGAACAGTTTTATTCAGTCTGTCACTGTATTTTTTGTTGAATGAGAATAGCAAAATCATTCATAAACTAGAGTCTCGCAACAGCGACAAGGCCATTTCGTTACAGGAAACTGTAATTTTATTATTGACAAATTGTTTGAGTGACCGAGTGGCAGGGGTCGCTAAAGAAAGTTTTGTTTTTAATTGTTTTGATAGACGTCGTTTTCCGTTTTCATTCCATTTCACGTGTTTACGACTTTTTTCGGTCCGAAATACCGACCGAGTCGGGAGCTTGTGTTATGAAATCGAGCAAGAAAATACACACATCGAAGCTGCACAGGTGACTCCCACGTTTGTCGCGATTTGTAAGTAAACAGTGGGTCTTTTTCGTTGTGCGTTTTCGCGAAAAGTGAACGACCATGTCGATACACACGGGCCAAACGTCGGAAAGCGATGCGTGGGCCCTTCTGGCCCTAAAATCGGCCCCGGCCAGTCCGGCGAAGCTACAATGGAGCCCCGAGGACAGGGGGGACGTGATAGCCCGCATAGAAGCCCGAGAATTCGAATATTTGGTCCGGCAGAACCGGATAGTGATCGGTAGGAACAGTTCACGTGGTGATGTCGATGTAAATATGGGACATTCGAGTTTTATTTCTCGTAGACATTTAGAAGTGATTTTCGATCACCCGTTCTTTTATTTGAGCTGTAACGGAAAGAATGGAGTGTTCATCGACGGCGTTTTCCAAAGGAAAGGGGCCCCAGCAATTAGACTGCCCAAGACGTAAGTTTCTGTTATGTAAACAATGCGATTTGTTTTTGGTACAGTCGGTAATTCCCAAGGCCTTGAGCCTTGTGCTGTGGTGACTCGAGATACTCGAAAATGGTGAGGTTAATTTTTCCATCACGTGGTGGCTTTTTCAATTCGATTTTCACCCCATTTTCCACAAACCAATCGATAGATAAAAGGGTTTCCGAACACACACAAGCCTGCACAAGGTCTTGTTTAGTTCCTAGTGTTTATAAATACATTTCTGAAGTATTTATCGAGCTGGTGACGTCATGACATACTTTCCTTGGAAACTGATCTTTATGCTGTTGCACCGCAAGGATCACATTTCCATTACCTTTCCAGTAAAAGCCAGCAAAATAATAGTTTTTGATTTATCGATAGGATATGTGTGGCCCTGGTTGGCTGGCTGCGCAGTTTTTATTTTTTTGTTTGGAAAATGTCAATTTGTTATGTGTTATGACAGTGGATTAGCTAGGCAGCACCACGTGGCCCAAGCCAAGCCAACTTTATTTATTTATTTACATTTATAACTAAAAAACTACTTCACTTTATATTTTATACAAATTTATTTGTTAGTCTTTTATCTGATTTTTTTTAAAAAAAATTCTAGTTAAAATTGATTTCTGATGCCCGATTGCACCATCTCTCTTAACTGAGGCTTAACGATAACTATCCCTTAAATTGACAGTTTTGCAATGTCACTTTAAGGAATAGTTATCTCTAAGCCTCGGTTAAGAGAGACGGTGCAATCGTGCATGAAAAACATGTTTTTGTAGATTTTTAATCATTCCCACCCAGTTTCATCACCTGTCCATACAAATACAAACAAAACTAGCTGAACAAAGTATACAAAATATTGCAGTTATCACTGGGTTGAGGGCCGGTTTCACAACTGACCGTTAACTCTGGTTTAACTTTAACAGTAAACTGAACTTTAATTCCATGTAGCAGGTTTTACAAGGGCTAGTTGCTAGTTGATTGGTGTTTGGTCCTTATCCACACAAAATTTTGATTATCCATTATTTCTTGCATTATTGCAATGCTCAAAAAGATTAATAATTATTCTTTCTCCAACGATTTTCTCTCTGAGGTCCTTCAGCAATCAATACTAAGTAACTATATCTTCTTCATGACATAATAAATACCAAGATAGATACCTACTTAATGTTACCTTTGATATGTCACCAATTACCAATTAAGTATTATAGCTTTGTTCCAACTCAGCAGGAAATCGTAATATTACCGTCAGGATTTTGCGCAAAACCTAAAATTTATGCGTAGAAACCGAAATTCGTATACAGAGTGGTTTCAAAACCGTTCTGTGATGGTCTTTTGACGGGTTGGAACAAACCTAATATTTTCTTAAATTTTATTTTTATTTATTTATTTATATTTATTTATTCATCAAATATCAACAGCCAAGAGGCCAATCACAGATACAAACTTACATCTATTACAAGTAAACTTTAAATCTAATTCTAATCAAAAGATTCACAATATAATAAAGTAAAAAAAAAACAATTCAAAAAAAAACAAACAAAAACAATACTCACATTCGTAGCTTTTCATCAATAATTTTCTTAAAAGCTTTGATATTTATTGTGTCAATATCAATATCGAAAGCATACAAATTAAAAACCTGACACATTTTATATATGGGAGAATTTTTGTAGAGATTAGTACGAGGATATGCCAAATAAAAAACATTCTGATTTCGCGAGTTGAATCGATTTATTGCAAATGGTAACTGGGCAAGCATTTCTGGACAATCAATTGTTCCCTTCAAAATATTGAACATTGTGCACAAAATCACCCTATCCCTTCTTTTGCTCAAGGAAAGCCTATCAAAAATGCTCAGTAGGTAGCCCTGATCACAACCTCTTTGCAAATAAATACCAAATTTTCGAAAATACATGCATTTGAGGAAATTTCGTTGTACCCTTTCTATTAATGTAACCCACACATTGTATTGCGGAGACTAAATTATGCTTGCATATTCCAAAATGGGAATCACCAAACTATCAAAAAGATGTAGACTCACCTCTATTTTAAAGTTTTTTGTGTTTCTCGAGATAAATCCTGCCACCCTCTGTGCACTTTCAATTTTAGATGCCATATGACCAGAGAACGACAAGTTAGAATCAAACACCACTCCAAGATCTCTCTGTTGACCAACTCGTTTGAGATTAGTACCATTTAATTTATAGTCATAATTTATAGCATTGTGGTTAAGGGTAAAGGACATACAGGTACATTTTGCAATATTCATTTTAAAGCTATTATTTTCGCACCAATTAGTCACACTACAAAAATCATTCTGCAGTTGCACACAGTCTTCAACGGAATGAATCTGGAAAAAACATTTGAAATCATCGGCGAACATGAGGGCCACAGCATTTTCCAGGTTTCCAACAATATTATTTATTGTTGCCAAGAAGAGGAGAGGGCCCAAATTAGAACCCTGAGGCACACCAGAGGTGCTTTTAAAGATCCGTATTTCACTCATTAAGTTGCTTTGAAAAGTAGGTACTCGAATAGGTATAGTTTTCAGCCCGGTTTTCAGATATTTTTTTTCAGGCTATAACATTTTGTTGGGAATTTAAACATAAGTTGTGAAAGATTTCCTTATTACCTAAGTATAAGTAAGTACCTGACCGAGTACCTGACCAAGTAAGTACCTAACCTGACTTGGCACCATGTTTGATTTTACCGAGGATTTTACTAAATGAATGTGACCACTACTAGAGGCAAAAGAAAGCAATAATGATCCATCATAGAAAAATAATGACACTCGGACATTACATTACAATTTATTATTTAATTCCTTCCATTATCAATGAAGAATTACAATGATGTGATAATTTTAGCAAAATATAATAATATTCATTAGCTGAATTTTGACACTAGCTTTGGTTTCAACTTAACTGAAAGTTTAAGTTCTGGTTAAACTACTCTAGTAACATAAAAAAGTGCAAGCAAACTGCTTTGTTTGATCTCAACAATGAAAATTGGGTTTTATCAAGGGTTTTATTGAGGATTTTACAACCTACTGGCTCTACTGACTTGTAAAATTTACAGATCAACTGTAAAAACTTCTTACAAGTCATTACAAGAATTATATCAACTAGGTAAATACCAAGCGAATCAATGAGAAAAAATCAAGGAAAAAAATATGAATTTTAAAATTTTATCGTAGGTAGCAAGGTAGGTACCAAGGGGTGAACCACTTAGCGCAATACTGTCCTAAATTCAGCAGAAATTCCGCGAAATCTTGCGTAATCCTTCAAAACCTCCAGGAAATCTGCGCGCAATCTTGTAAATCGATGCGCAATCCCGCGAAATCTTTGCGAAATCCTGCATAAACATTGAGAAATCCTTCCAAATTGGGAAATTGGAGTCTCTTAGGGAGTTTGCGTGGCAACTACACCCAACCAATAATATGGCGAACGCCAAGGTCACACACAGATGCCAACCAAATCCATTTATTAAACATAACTTAACCTAATTTAATTTACAGGTATATGTTACTACTGCACATTTTTTTGACATTGAGAGACATTTTACAATTCCTAAACCACTCAACTATTGACTTCAAGCCAGCTTGCAACTTGACAACATTCTCTTTAACAGATGGTTTTGAACAGCCTAAAATCAACTGAATATATTAAGCCAATAGATGAATTCACACAGTCAGGCAAGTCGTTGATAGGCAATATAAAAAGCAATGGCCCAAGTTTACTACCCTGTGGGACTCCTGAGGTTGATATATTCACTAGATAAACAATCATCTTAACACTATTCCTCACACTAGGTATTCTTTCTTCCCATCAAATAGGATTTCAACAAATTGCAAGTTTTTCTTGACAACCCAAAAGTGAATAAACCAAAGGTTCCTTCAGAATTTAGGCCTATAAATCTTTTACCAGCTGTAGATAAGATAATCGAAACCATCGTCTGCAATCAACTGAGGGAGTACTTCGAGAAAAATCACTTGCTATTCACGGGTCAGTCTGGATTTAGAAGTCAACATTCCTGTGAGTCAGCGATTCAGTATGTATGTGCAAATTGGCGAGAAAAAATAAACAATGGTGAATTAGTGATTGCTGTTTTTGTGGATCTTCAGCGTGCTTTCGAGACAATTGATCGACAAATTCTTCTTAAAAAACTGGAATATTATGGTGTGGATAAATGTGCTTTAAGTTGGATTGATAATTATTTAAAAGACAGGTTTCATAAAACAAAAATAGCTAATAGGGTATCTCAAAAAAAGGAAACTGTGCTGGGTGTACCCCAGGGAAGTGTCTTGGGACCACTTTTATTTATTATATATATTAATGATCTCCATAGGGCTTTGAAAAACTGTTTTGTTAATTTATTTGCTGACGATACCCTCATATCAGTGTCTGGAAAGAATTACCTAGAAGTTGTAAATATATTAAATAGTGAGCTAACTGTATTGTATGAGTGGTTATGTCAAAATAAATTAAAATTGAACTCCTCAAAAACAAAATGTATGGTGGTGGGCTCAGCTGTAAATTGTAAAAAATTTCATAATTTAGGTTTATCTTTGTCCATAAATGATGTAACCATAGAGTTTGTAAACGAAATTAAATATTTGGGTGTCATTTTGGATCCGCAGTTGAATTTTTCAATTCATGTTGATTATGTTTGTAAAAAATTAGGTAAAAAAATAGGTTTTTTCAGTAGAATATCTTATTGTGTTTCTGAATGGGCAAAAATGTTGATTTACAAGACTATCATTCTACCTCACTTTGCATATTACAGCTCAGTACTAATTTCTTGTAACAAAGAAGAGGTGCGAAAATTGCAACTACAGCAGAACAAAATTATGCGTATTTTATTAAACTGTAGTAAGTATACACCGATAGAATACATGTTGGAAACTCTAAATTGGTTGAATGTTGAGCAGAACATTAGAAAGGCGAACCTTGTTCTAATTTATAAAATTGAACATAGCCTAATGCCGAAGT